CAATTGGCATCCGTCCCCAGGTTTTAACATCACATTGTGACAGAATGTTAATGTGTACAGTGTTTATACGATTTAAATGACTATGAATTGTGTTTGATTGAAATTGTATTCACTTCATCTAACATGTTAATGTAATAACTAATATCTAACATCACACAAACTATAATTCTAACACTAAACATTATTACACGTACTATAATTTCCTGACTAGGGGTGCACTTCTGGCTTAAATCCAGAACAGCAACAGATGAGGTTGATGATACTTAAAGATGATACTTAAACAACAGATATTTAAGTGAAAAGTGTGAAATGCTGGATTTAAAACTTTTGAAGAGATTCCAATTTGGATAAAAGTGCATATGAAGCGAAAAACGAGGCGAAGCTCCGTTGTGCCTCGAACCCGTAAGCATGTCATTCTCATTGTTGCACCGACATTCAACAAAGACTTAGTGGGCGCGAGAGAGAGAGAGGGCAGAGACGTGAACACGCACACGCCAAGAGCTGGCGCGCGATCAATGAATCCTACGCAATCCTACCGTGTAAAATAAGAACGAGAGCCGAGCAAAGAGCAGCTGGCAGACTCTGGGAAAAGTGAGCCGCGTGCAGCACCTACAGAAGTTTTCTTCGGGTTGTTCTTTCTGGGTTGTTGCACCGATGGAGGTCAGGGGGGGGGGACAAACCGAAAAAAGGACAGCTGAAGGGAACAGAGTTTCTATTCAGAGATGACAAAGAACTCGGAGGTTTCAAGTGGCATCTACTCTCCTCACGTGAAGGTCGTGTGTATTGTGTTGCTTTTGATAAATTGGAGCAGTGCGGCGGAGTATTTATAACTAAGTGAAGGGGATGCGTGCAAAAGCTGAATTAACGCGATGTGAACTGGGAGAAGGAGTGAAACCTTGATGTTGTTCCAAACATCTGTGCTATTTATGGAGTATTTAACCGTTTCCGCCGTGCCTTCTGTCAAAACCTCTCAATTTAAAGAGACTTTCAACTGCTCCTTAAGACTTTGCCTGTTTGGATACTTAATCAGAGAGGATGCGTCTTAGAGTCAAGAGGAGCTTCTTTCACCGCTGGATGACGAGGTAATTTCAATGTTATGCTTTCAAGCAGAGCTAATAGTTGAATAAGCACATTTAATCAAAAGTCTTAATCTTCCTCTGATCGTTTCAGTGGAATGCTCAAAAAAAAAAAGCAGCTGGGTTTAAATCGGACAAATCTCACCGATAAATCCCCGCCCTTGTATTGTTGTGGACCTTAGAAGAGGCCACGTGGGAGCGGGAGGAGGAGGCCCTGTAAGTCAGGAGGCTTTGGATGAGCTCGGAGCGCCTCCCCGTCAAACGGTGAGCAATGTCGATGTCAAAGTAGTGGGTGGTTGGATGGGTTCTACAGTGTGACGCAGCGTCTGCAAGCCGACGCCAAAGGACGCTTTTGTGCTCTAAAAGCAGGAAAAAAAATGAAATGAATGTGTGTTTGCAAAAGAAAGTGTGATTTAATCAGTGAGTTTTGCATTATAGTTTGTTGCTCGCCTCCTCCCCTCCTCCCCAATCGTGGTGGGGAGCAAAGAGTCATCCAAGATTAGCACTTGTCTTTTGATTAGTGAGGCCGTGGAAACAACCCAGACAGTTCAATCAAGTCGCTAGTATTTACCGCACACTGTTGCATAATCTCCTTAGTGGAGCAACAATCCTCGCCGTCAGCTTTGGGGAAAAACCTCCGAATGGGATACATATGATATGTTTGTATTTAATTAAGCTTTTGCAACGTATTTTGTGTTGTTTGTTTTATGCCTTCTATGAGCGTTGTTGCTCCCTGCCTTCTTTTTGAAATGAGGATTTTTATTCTCATTGAGGCTTTGAAAGAAAAAAGGAAACTCAAAGTGGGGTCGTTGAAGGGACACATTTGCATGCTCCTGCGGTCATTATTTTCATTTTTATTGTGTCCAGTTGAATTTTCAAGACCATAGAGGAATGTCCAAAATAATTCAATATGAAAAACAACATATATGCTTTTATTTACGCTTTTTATGCTTTTAATTCCCAATAATTTCTCAAATTAGTCTTTAAAGCTTCTTGTGACCCCGTCCGGATATCGAGTTCGGCCACCAGGGATCCCGGTTTGAGAAACCCGGATCACCATGACACTGAATCCAGGTGAACCTGTGACCCTCTTGAGGTTTGCCTGTTTTGCCCTTGTGTGCCGCTGACCCAACCTTGTACGCTATTTGAAATGGAGAGAACCTCTGCCGCAATATATAGGATTACTAGACTGGAATAACCAGCTGTCTTTACAACTGCTATAAAATTACCAGGTTGGAATATCTAATCCCTGCTACCTCACATGCAAATCCTGTCATCCTTAATGGATGAGCATATGGGCTTTTGAGGTAGAATTACTAAGTGCACAAGATGAGAATACCACATATTTTGTTACTTCGGCTTTATCAAAAACAAGCTGAGAGTTTAGGGAATGCACATGCAGAAAACGTCAACAGGTGCCAGATCAGAAAGTCCAAAAAGTACTGAAAAGCTGTCAGCAAACTTCCATCCAACAGAGCTCTTCGTCATCTGCCGCAACCGATCACTATAACAAGCATTCTCAATATGTGCACACACTCTGGAGGTCGTGATCTGTGAGACTGGACCGATCAGACCAGAGCCGGATAATACGTCTCTCATATCGGGAAATAAAGAAATGAACTAGAAGAAAATATTATAATAGTCATTCAAAACTAATACATACAAAATTCAGGAAAAACATGTAGATAGAATAGACAAATTGAGAATGATAAATTAAATTTGACACAAGGGTTTATTTAAACAAAAGCAGGTCAAACTTGTGAGGACACATTTGTATTAATACCTAAAAAATGTTTTTCACAAAAGAGAATGATGTACTTTTCAGTTACAGTAGTTCTTTTAAGACGCTGACCACGTAGTCACAGCACTCCATGTTTGAACCTGACCAGGGGTCTTTGTTGTTCTTTCATCTCTCTGCTGTTGCTGTTGAATAAAATTAGAAACAGATGATGAAATTTGAACCACCCAACAATCAATGAAATGGAACTGGCTCCAAAGACAAATGTTTTATTGAAGCACTCGTTTTTGTGCACGTTCATTAACAACGCTTTTAATATGTCAGAAAAAATGCTACTTTCCATCAGTTGTCCTTGGAGAGACGTCCTTAAGTCGAGCTAAAAAGAATGAAATGAATAAATATCATGGTGGTATCCGCATTCGTGAGAGGACATCGATGCTTTAAAACCCCTCATGCAGGACCCGTTCACACACTAAATCGTCTAACTTCACACACTGCGGCTCAAAGTCGAGTTCTGTGAAGGTGTCCAGGATGTTTGTACTGATGCTGCGTCAGTGAAGTTCACGCACCAGCGTTCCGACGCAGTCTCCTAACGAGTAAGGTGACGGTGTCGTAGCGGCCGGACGCATCGAGGGAGGGAGGGCTGATGTAAAGAGCGCTGCGTAGAAGGAGGAGGGACGTTATGCCTCTGCTCCCGAGACGAGTGACACTGCAGTGGCGAACTCACCCCTCTCTCTCTCTCTCTCTCTCTCTCTCTCTCTCTCCCTCCCTCTCCCTCTTTTACTGACTGGAGAACCGATCGATTGTTTACCCTCTCGGTCCGAATCTGACCGCCTCCCTCAATCTCCGTCTCGCTTCTCAGGCAGCAAACTCCATCACGAAGTGACGACTCACGTCTCGGCACGACTGCCTCCTCAATGACACGTCCACAACATTGCAGGATGGTATAAGAAAAAAAGAAAAAAAAAGACCCCAATATTGATGGAGCACGTTGATTTCAGCTGAAGGATGTTGGAGCTGAAATCTCTGCGTTTATGGGGCAGACCTGGATGTTTATTTCAGGTAAAACAAAAGACAACAGCTTTCTATTCGTGGATGCACATGTGCGTGAAGGACGTACGTCCTCAAAGAGTGTGCTGTGACCTTGGAGCCTTAAAGCCTGTGACCTTGAAGCCCCCCCCCCCGCCCCCCCGTGCCTGCAGTGGTGCCGCTGGCGCCGCAATGTTACAGGCGACTCCGGGCTGCGGCGGGAGGAGAGCGAGATGACGGGGGGACGACTTGTGACTTCAGGCAACACGGTTCTCTATCAGGAAACGCAATAGTCAACCTGTGGTGCCAAGTTGGCTGTCCTTGTGAAAAAAAAAAAAAAAAACTACAAGATTAACCTTGATTAAAGTTTGAGCTCCTCGAGAGGATTCAGCGGAACTTAAAAAAAAAGTCATTTGAATTAAACCTTTTTAATTAGGCTCGTTGCACTTTTTTGAAAGCCAAACAGCCACTGTATTAATCTAACAAACCTTTAAGGCGCAGAGGTGCTGCACACACACACACACACACACACACACACACACACACACACAAGGGACGGGTTTTGACACTCAACACTAGCCGATCCATACTAAACACCTTTTGTGGGAAATGTGTGCCCAGAATAAATCCATGGAAATTCATCAATGAAAGAGAATTTAGTGTTGTGCCTAATTCTAGTTTTTCCCAAGATAACTTTCATTTTATGGATTCCAAAAGAATAGAAGCACTTTTCTTTTTTTTGACAATTAAACATTTTTCCGATGAACAATCACGACAGCGTCTCTCACCGACAAAATCAACAAGGGGAAGGCTGAACCCCCCCCACCCCTCCCTTCCCCGGCACATGTGCGCCGCTGCAGATGTTGGGAGCTTTGACTGTAACAGGGGAAGAATACACCATAATCCCCAAGGTGAGGGCGGATTGGATGATCCCAAATGTGGGTGCCTACTCTGCAGGAAAGAGGGGGAAAGAGTGGGTCCCACTCTGCCTCCGTCACGTCAAACAGTGATTGGCTCCTGCAGGGTAAATCTCCTATCAGGGAGCTTCCAGTATCATCCTCACTTACCTCACTGGCGGAAGAGGGAGCAGGGAGAAGGAAGCGCAGGTTACCCCTTCCACCCCCCCCTCCCCCCCGCCCCCTCTCGCACATTCAAAATACAGTAAGTTTCCTGCGTGTTTGTCTCTCTTTCTGTGTGTGCGTGCGTGCGCGTGTGAGTGTGTGAGTGTGTGCGGGTACCTCTGGCATCTCTGGTTTCGTATAGGGTGTTGAATTACCCAATGGGAGCTTTAATAGAGCCAGAGGCACTCTTGATTGTAAGTCTGGATGAGGGAGAGATTGAAGGGAGGAAAGGGGGGAACAGAGTGCAGCTGTGAGGCAAGAAAGAGAGGGCACAACAACTCCTGCAGAGCCGGGGACCGGGTGAGTGGTGCGGACATCTGCACACAGCTGGATATCAACTTTGCATTTACTTTAATGCGCATTTGAGTGTAATTGGGGGTGATGAGGGCAGTGCTGTGATGAAGTGTGGGAGGGTTGGAGTAGTAAATTAGCAGCAATAGGTGCCTTTGGACACAATTTAAAGCGGCTTACGATGCAAGAGTGGAGACTTTTCTGTCCTTCAAGTGTCCTTTCAACTGGACTCCGTATTCTCTCTCTCTGGCGGCGGCGCACAATCGATATGTATCTTTTCCGTATGACGCATCGCAACGTCCTTCGAGAACAAAGACACAGTCCCGCGTTCTGGACTGTTAGGTTATCTGCCACAATGCAAGTGGAAATAGAACCAGACGAGTCTCATGGAGTGCGCAGGGCCCTCGGTGTCAAGTGGACACGGATGTTGCAGCTTGAAAGCGCGTGTTGGGATTTGGTTACCTGTATGAACCGAACCAACGGAATGATGAACCGCTGCTCAGCTTGACGCCGTTTTGAGTTTGAGTTTCTGCTCGTAGTCATAAGTGAACACTGAGAATCTTTTCCTTTTTTTTTGTTCAATCATGTTCAGGCATGATCAGCTATAATAGCCGTACGTATGTAAGCACTTTTTTTCATCCAAACTTGCAGAGCTTGTGTTTCTGTTTAGTTTATTGGAGAATGCGGAGAAAAAAAAAATAACTGTAGAGGCACAGTATCGGATGACAACGTCTATGCTGATGCAAACGCCAGCTGAAAAATGCCTCTGCCCACAAAACTGTATCCTACTATAGAACATATTATAACATAAATGCTCCCCCCCCCCCCCCTCTTCTACAGATTACTAAGAGGACTCAATCCAAACGCAGCGCACAGCTGCCTGAATGATAACCAGGAGGAGGGGGACCCTGCCAGGATCTTCAACGTGGCACCGCTCGAGGTGTCCCCTCTGTTTCCCGCCATCCAACCAGGCTGATAGCTAGCGACCACCCAGGCGATGGAGGTGCCGCTTGTCAATTTCGAGAACATGGATGACGTTGGCATCCACCTGGGAGACCCGAGTGACTCCGGGTACCCGACGTCCCCTCAGTCAGAGGCCCCCGATTCCAACCTGCTACCCCGCCGCCTGAGCTCACCGCGCCAGTCGCCGCGCAGGGGACGACGCGGGCATCATTCTGGTCAAGAGGGGCTGTCGCCGTCCTCTCCTCCGACTCTGACCACTAAGGCGACCTCCAGCAGCGGAAGCCTGATCTCCAATCTGAAGCTCCTGATCAACAGCGAGTCTCCCACCGACAGCGTCTTCAGTAAGCTGCCGAGGGATTGCTACGAGAATGAAGACTTGTTTGAAAAGCACTTTGTTGAAGACAAAGACGAGAAGGTTGTCATCAATATTTCAGGCCTGATGTTTGAGACCCAGCTCAGCACCCTGAATAAGTTTCCAGAAACGTTGCTAGGTGACCCCATGAAGAGGATGAGCTACTTCGACCCCATGAAAAACGAGTACTTCTTTGACCGGAACCGCCCGTCTTTTGATGGTATCCTGCACTACTATCAGTCGGGGGGGCGAATCCGCAGACCAGCCAACGTTCCTTTAGATGTTTTTGCGAATGAAATAGTTTTCTACGAGCTGGGTCATGAAGCGATGGAGCAGTTCCGCGAAGACGAAGGGTTCATCAAAGAGCCAGAGGTCCTTCTGCCCACCAACGAACTCAAAAAGCAGTTCTGGCTCCTGTTTGAATACCCAGAAAGCTCCAGTGCAGCCAAATCCGTCGCTCTGGTCTCGGTGTTTGTCATCGTCATTTCCATCGTCATCTTCTGCCTAGAGACTCTGCCAGAGTTCAGGGAGGACACTGACTTTGCCCCGGGTTTAACCCAACTCATCAACGGGACCCAAACGGCCACTCATCCCGCCACCAAAGACGTGTTTGCGTATCTAACGGATCCCTTTTTCATCGTGGAGACTATTTGCATCATTTGGTTCTGCTTTGAAGTCGGTGTCCGCTTTGTGGTGTGCCCCAGCAAAAGGGATTTCTTCAACAACATCATGAACACCATTGACATCGTCTCGATAATTCCCTACTTTGTCACCCTTGGAACCGAGCTGGCTACGACCCCCGATGAGGATTTGAACTCCAGTCAGAACATGTCCCTGGCGATCCTGAGAATCATCCGTCTGGTGAGAGTTTTCCGAATTTTTAAGCTCTCGCGACACTCGAAAGGCCTACAGATCTTGGGGCAGACCTTGAAAGCCAGCATGAGGGAACTCGGGCTTCTCATCTTCTTCCTTTTTATAGGCGTCATCCTATTCTCAAGTGCCATCTACTTTGCAGAAGTGGATGAGCCGCAGACGCAGTTTGTCAGCATCCCCGACGGCTTCTGGTGGGCTGTGGTGACGATGACCACAGTGGGATACGGAGACATGTGCCCCATCACAATTGGAGGCAAAATGGTCGGCACCCTCTGTGCCATTGCCGGTGTCCTGACCATCGCCTTGCCCGTCCCCGTCATCGTTTCCAACTTTAACTATTTCTACCACCGCGAGACCGAGCAGGAGGAGAAACAGGTGATGGATGCAGCCGCGGACGCCGCGCAGAAAATGTCAGCGGCAAACAAGTATGGAAGCACGCCGTCTTTAAACAAGAGCAACGGCACCTGGCAGAACGAGAAGAATGGCACACAGCAATAGAGAAATGTATGTGTCCAGGGCATGAAAAGCGTGTCCCGTGGTGAGTTCCTCGTTCTCACGCCGTTTTGTACTGTGGACATTGCACGATTTGTGCGTATTACGACAGTATTAGAAGGCCCCGTGCGGTGAGACAGCCTGTACACGAGACGTACGTCTGCTTGTGGATGTGTCAAAGTGCAATTAACACAACTCACTGCTGTAACTCCCACGAGACGCTGTAAAAAATGATCTTCTTTCATTCAGGGCAATTTGAAGAAAAATCAGATGGCTCATTTGTGCGATTAGAATTTTAAATGTAGACGGTCAGAGAAGGCAAATCGTTCGTTTTGGTCAGACTTCTCCTGGAGGGTCTACGTAAGACCACTTGGCTTGACATTCAAGGGCAGGCGAAGGCGTCCTGTGTAAGGAAGAGGACACAGGCGCACACATCGTCTTGTCAGCAAATCTATAGCTGTGAATACTCAGCCAGCAGAACTTCTCCATATGACACAGCGGAACAATATCAGGGCGATAATTCGTCGGCACCTTTGCACGTCTGTTATTACCCTTATGGATGCAAAATATAACTGTATTATAGTACATGCAGTAGTTGCACGCAGCTTTCAAAATCACAAGATATTTTTCATGTCGTATATTATTTCCCATCCTACACAGATTTATCACCTTCTGATATCATCACAATATGAATTTGCCCTTTAAAAAGCATATCAGTGCATTCAACCGGAAGCTTATTTTACAAATATCTCGTGAGCATTATTGGAGCTTTACACCATCAGCTGTTGGCAGGGAAAGCACATTCCTCAAAGTGTATAGAAATATGAGATGTGTGTGTGTCTGTGTGTGTATACTGTACGTTGGTGTGTGTGTGTATATATATATATATATATATATATATATATATATATATATATATATATATATATATATACGACCAGACAGAGAATCAAAACAAAGACAAAAAAAATACTTTGCACACTTGTATTTGACCAAATCTCCATTTAACATCTCAATTGTATTGCATGCCATCGTGTGCCGAAAAGAGGCCCAACCCTTATTATGAGTAACTGAACATTTCATCGTACTTGAATATGTTACGATCTTTCAATCGTATGATGATCAATATATTACATGTGATAGGGAAAGCCAACACCTCAACTCGATTTGTGAAATGATGACAAGTGATGAGGTGTGTGTGTCTCATCAGGAAATCCGTTTCTATGTATGCATGCCACATATATATATATCTTGAAAATGTACTGTATTTGAGTTTATTATAATATAAATCCAGCTTGTACAGGAATGGCAGTGGACGCAGCTGCAACACAAGCAAGGCCTTTCTAATTATCCTACAATATGCAATAATGATGACGTGTGGGTGGAAAAACAAGTGTTTTTCACCTGTTGAAAGAGCAATAACGAATTGATTGAAATGAAACGCAATAAGGTGACGTCAGTTAGTCACGTTGGTACTCAGCACTTTACTATGTTATGAAGCACTTAATATTTAAGGACTGTTACTGTGCGTGTCCACATTTTACAGTATACAGTGTCAGAATGTTTAATTTATTCTCTAAAGAGTGCCTTTCATTAAACATGTATCCTAACGCTGTGACGTGTCCCTCTGATGATTGGACTTGTGTCACCAGGTTCATTTAAGTTCAGAGTTTGTTTTTTAAACTGTTTCTCAGTAACAGTGATGGATGGAGGTGTCAGTGCACTCATCACATATTTGTTGTTAGAACGCCCTCTCGACCAGGCTGATATCACAATGGCATCTCTCTCTCTCTCTCTCTCTCTCTCTCTCAATCTGTCTCTCACTTTATCCTTTTTAAAATATGTATTCATAAAATGATATGTATCTCTGGTGTCATGGTGGCAAACTGGAGCAGAGCTTTTGTCGATGGTTGTTTTGGTAAAAAGACTTTTATCTCAATAAGAAATGAGGAAGGTAAAACACCCCTGAATATGCATGGACAGATAATACATTATTATTTGTCTATGTTATTGTTAAATAATGAAGAAAGGCAGGAGATGAAAAGCTGACATGCAGAGTTTTTGTTTCAAATTAGCGTTTTCTTTCTATTAGGAGGGTAATTCTTGTGTCATGAGCTTGACAATGTCTTTGGCTGGGATGGCTTCAAATGCACCAAATTAAATATGCAGACCAAATGAATCATTTATAAAATTAGCTATCTTGGCATCTGAGGCTGTGGGCCGTTTCATTTGAGGCTTTACTGTCCTAAACAGCCATGGGCATATTATCAGTGACACAGCTGAAAAGATGTCTTATTATGATATTAGGCTCTTTTTGTGATTAAACATATATATATATATACATCCATATAGATATACATACACACATATGTTTATGAACATGACTTTAAAAGATATTCAACAAATGCATCAGTGAATTTGGGGTAAAGGGTAAAAGCAGGTGAGGTGTGACTGGCTGATTGTTCATTCTTGGAAGAAGCTGCTCCCGTGTCTGCTGGTTTCGGCCTGCAGGGCTCTGCAGCGCCGACCCGAGGGGAGGGGAGGGGTCGGTACAGGTTGTGTGAAGGGTGTGAAGGGTCTGCAGTGATCTTTCCTGCCCGTTGGCTGACTCTGAAAGGTGTACATGTAGACCTGGTGATCCGTTGTGGCGATCACATCTTCGTCTCTGGTAAGCGGGGGGGGGGGGTTGAGCGGGCGGCCCCTTCCGCCCCGCTGATCACTGATCGCACCCCGAAGACGAGGCCCGAGGGCACCTAAGCATTTAACGGACAGGCAGCTCCGGCGAAGGTCAACGCTAATGCGAGGCGGTCATTTATAATTCATCGGGTGTTCCACAAAGAGATCACATCTATCCGGCCTTCGATGAAGATTCGTCCCGGGAAATCCATCTAACGCCCCGATGCGGGTGTCCAATCACAGTGACGCAGCAGGCTCGACAACGCAGGCCTTAATGGATCTAAAAATCCCCCCCCCCCTCTATGCCTCCTGTTCTTCTCTTTAGTGTCCCACTCCTTTTGAGGAAGAAACTTTGGATGGGTCCCACACAGGCGCTCGGGCAGCCAGTCTCACGTCGGTAGATTGGGTTACTGTTTGGTCAGCAGACACATTATAAGCCAACATCAAACCCGCACGGGCAGCCGGCCGTGTGCCTCTGTACGCCTCTGCAGAGGACAAAGTCAAAGTTGGGAGCTGTGCAGCGCGTCTTTGAATCAAATCCCTCCCAAGGGTCCGTTTTATTTTGCAGTGACGGTAACTCTGCTGGATGCGGGGTCGGGCGTATCGACGAAGGCTCACCGACAGTATTTTTGGAGCTATTGATTCTGCACCTTTGACTTTGCTGAACAAGAACATTGAGACATTGAGAAGGTTTTGCGTTACGCGTATAACTTCTTTATGGACTAGGGGGCAGATTAAGGATTGGGCGGGGGGGGGGGGGGGGGCAGGTGGACACTACTTGCTTCTTAGACGAGGCGTGTTTAGTGTGGTAAAGGTTTTTTTTTTACGTGTGGGAAGTCTGAAGTTTCATTTTAGTTGGGAATCCCTGACGTCACCGATGAATCCAGCGTGTCCTCCTGTTTATGGCTGTGTCACATTTCAAGAGAACGTCTCTGTTTTTAACATTTAACTTTCATTTCATTGTTTGTCATTGATGCTTTATGTGTCATTTAACACCCACTATGAAACACTTTGAGTGTATGACATTGGTGTATATGACATTTTTATTTGTCCGGCTTTGTTGTCCTTGATCTGAGCTGTCATTTTATTTCGATATCAGTGACCAGAGTCAGATTAATATTGTTACAATTCTATTTAGTACATCTGATATTTGCCAGGCAACAGTTAACCAGTACATCTGTCTATTTGTCTGGTTATCCCAGAAATGGATGAGACTGGTGTCCTGCTTTATCTCTTTTATTGTCAACAAAACCCATAAAAAAAATCTAAACAAAAAAGCAAATTAATTCATCCTCTAAATATTTAATATTAAGATGTTTGTTAGGAAATCTAGATCCTATATATAACAGATATAAATCTGTGCTGTCTGTTTTTAACAGTTCAAAGTGACCTATAGTAACATTTATGCCCAGATCTCAATATATCAAACAAATCATTACAATAAATATCTTATCATCTCCATGAAGCATTCGAGTATACAGGTACGTCATCATTACTGGAGCCATTGTATTCTCAGGTATCTGTCTCAAATATGATTTGTTAGCTCAGTTCTGCACTGCCTGGGTGCAACACTGCACATCAATTTTATTTTATTTTTAGATTGGAGAAGGGAGTCCAACGAGAGGGCAAGTAATGATTCAAGGAGATAAAGATTTATGACAGGTAACTGCAGGCTGGCTGCTCCGCTGCAGTGCGCCAGGCCTGGAGGTCAATGACCAGACTTTGTGGGACGAAACGCGGGTCTCACATTTATCCTGCTTAACGGCAATAATAAATGAGCAAGGTGACCCGAGGTACCAGCCGGGACCAGACAGGGTGGCTTTCAGGTGACAATGTGAAGGTACAGTAAAAGAACTACACGGCAGAACAAAGTAGCATTAAAAATAAATATCCCAACCGGATGTACTAGGTTAGTGCTTAAGGAAGTGACCGATGTGATAAATATCGATTTTATGGAGACAGGATTTGATTTTTAGTTTTACAGAAAGGGTTTGACAGTGTTTAGCACGACACCTTGTGGCATTATTATGGTACCACACATAAGCAAACTGGTGGAAGATGTTCACTGACAGACTGGAAAGGACTATTTTATTTATTCCCTTGGACAATTTTACATTTAGTTGAGAAAAGGAGTCAGGAGTATGTCTAAATAAAGCTGACAAATCTAAAGTTGAAATGAAAAGATTCAATAACCACTGCAATCTACATTCTGTCCAATAACTGTGAAACCGTCATTAATATCTCCAATGTCAGATGCGAAAAAGACATTTTAAAACTTGAACCAGCAATGTGTTGAAGACCTATTCAGGCCGAGTCACAAGGTCACGCGGATAACGATCAGACTACATTCTGCTGTTGTCTCTGTAAACTGTGCAGCTCCAACAGAAAGAATCAGCTTTGTTATCGCTGTGCCTCGAGGCGACTACCCGGTCGGAACTACCTGGTCTTGTTGCTTTCGGTTACAGAAACCGTCTCATGTTTCCAGTAAACAAGTCAGATAAGAGACGCCTCATAGGAAAATAAGAGGCGTTTTTTTTCTTCTTTTTTTTCCCCCTCCTGTAGTTTACAATCAGTTCTGGGAACCTGCATCACACAGCATTGCACATTGCTTTCGACGGTACGAGGATTCATATCTGGCGGCTGGACAGAAAAACAGCGGTTATAAAATGTTGCTAAAACGGTCTAATTCGTCCATTCATTGAGCTCAGCAGCAGGCTGAATGTGGTAAATAATTAAACAGATCACAAAGGTGGAAACCAGTCTCGGGAGATCTCCCTTCATCTCATTCTCTCTCTGTCCATTCTATCTTTTCCATGTCTATCTATTATGTCTCTCTCTGTCTCCACCTGTCTCTCTCTCTGTCTCTCTCTCTTTCTCCTGCAATAAATGGGGCATTTCTTTCTCTTGTTGTTATCGTCTTGGTGGGCTTTTGCCAGATCTTTTTTGACACCGTTTAAACTAAATGAATCTATTCCTCATAAAAGGATTCACTGAAGAATGAATATTTTAGTGTTATTGGAGCTTACATTTAGCCGTATTTGTATAAGCTTGAGTACACACACAGTTATGGAATTGTTCTGTGTGATGTTAGATTTTGTCCACACTCAAAAATAAATAGTGGACAAAATGTTACACCGCATCTGAGTTTGCTATTAAATTAAAAGAGCAAAAATAAATCCGTCAATACTCAGCCTGATTCTATTCTCAGACTTTAGGCCTATTCTGGTTTGATTTATTTATGGATCTACAAAAGTGCACCGATCTAAGGGACAAGATGTTGCAGTGAGGGAAGTAAAACTATATCCACACTAAACACTAAACTTCCGCACACTGTCTTTCTGTTTATTTTCATTTTTCTCTTTTGTATTGTGTTTTCTTCTTCCCCGGAATGATGATTAATGAACAAATCAATGGTGACAGTTGAATGTTGATAACCGAATGGCAATATTGCGATTAATGCGCATCTATGATACTGCATGCAGCTTGTGTTTTTTATATTATATTATTATACCAAACTGCTAAGTGAAATTAGGTACAACTGCAATAATAGTTGATCAGATATATTTTAGTCTTTGATGAATCGCTTTGTGTGGATTTATTGTATTTATATAATATACATATGTGTTTCAAACTCATAATTCTTTGCTTCAAGTTTCCTCCCTTTACTCGTCCATGAACTGAACATAAAAACAAACGACAGCAGGGAATCAACCTGTTGTTTGGGAAGCGCGCTGATCTTTTTCTTACATTTTATATAACAGCCAATCGATTAATACATAGATTCAAATCGGTCGTCGTACCATTCTGACACAAACACACAAAGCCAGCCTCTAAAAGGAAGTGACCTCTACTTCCTCTAAAAACGCAGCCAGGCGACACGCAGGAGGGAGTTTCTACAGCCTCCGGCGAAACCAAAAACAAGTGCAAGACAAAACCACCGTGACGCTCGTGACCTGCAGCTCGAAGCAGGAAGAGGGTTTTTTTCTTTTCTTTTCAGCAGAAGCGACGACGACGACGTCACGCGGCTTCAGGTGAGGAGGGGAGGGCGGGGCCGCGACCAAATATGGGAGGAGCAAGCGCAGGTGGACGTGCTGCGGAGAGTCCCGCCGCGGGGACATCTGGCTCGCCTCACACGCTGGAAACAGAGCTCTTGAGGAGGTTCGAACCACTGGATTACGCGAGGTGAGTTCACCCGGCCACGTCGCTGCGGGCCGCTGGGTTCGCTTGGTTTCGTTGTGCCCGCCCGCTCTGTTCCTCTTCCCACAGTATTGAAATGAATGCAGGAATCTGTGCGGTCCACGTGATAAACATGCAGTAGAAACTGTTATTTAGCTGTATGTGTAGTTTTTAAAGCTGGAACGATCTGTCTATTTGCTTACCAATGCATCAAGTCTTTTTTTAAAAGTTGTTCTAGCTCCTCTTGTGGTAATTAACTGAACACCTTTGCGGGTTTCTCAAACAAGCGATTTGAATGAGTCGTCAAGGGCTAAAGATAATTGTGATCCAAAGAATAAATAATATGAAAGTGAATTGATAGTTAACCCTGTACTGCTGTTATGTTGCTGCTCTTTCCTCTTCCTCTTCTCCTTTTACAAATTATTATTATTGTCTATTATTATTATTATTGTCTCTTTTGGAAGGTTATTCTTTTGTTTCAGTTTATTTTATTTAATAATTTAATATTTCTCTTATTATATTGTATATAATGTGTATCTTTTTATTCTATTTTCTTCCCTGTACATGCTGCTGTGATACCAACATTTCCCTCTTGAGGGATCAATAAAGTATCTATCTATCTAATGCTTGGATGCAACTTCTGCGACTGATTACTTTAATTATCAATTCACCTGCTATTATTATTTTTTCTTTCTCAAAGATTTTTCATCATTAACTAACTTATTACAATTACATGATTAAGTGTATAATTAAATATCAAATACTCTTTTGATCTAGAAACAATGTCAGAAACCAACCGCTTCTTCCAAAGAGCTTTTGCACTAAAAAAAATGTCATACAACACAATTGTTAACGGTATGTGTGATGTTTTCTCTTTCTTGTAGTTCTCGAACCATGGCAACACTCCCAAGAACACAGATGCCTCCCAGCGGCCAGCTGATTTCCGTACCTCACAAGGATACAATGCGTCTGCTGGAGGTCTACGTCAAGCGCAGCCTCAGCCTCAACGACGGGGCGCTGGGCAGCAAGAGGGCCGGCGGGAAAGAAAAATGGGTGACCATGCCGACGAAGCTAAGACGACATTCCAGCGACCCGTCGCTTCACCTGGCCGAGGGGTCGGAACAGCAAAGCGGCCCGTGTTCGGCAGCCGAACCCGCCCCGGACCGGCCCGAGGCTTGTCCGGAGGAACCCGAGAAAACGGTGAAAAAGCCCAAGAAGAACAAGAAGCCCTCTCTGTGGAAAAGCTTCCTGGGTATTTTCTCCCGGAGGCCTAGCGAGGAGAAAGACGAAGAGCAGGACGGCGCGTCGGAGATGGCCGAGGGCCCCTCGGCGGCGGCGGCGGCCTCCGACGACACGACCACCTGCCTGCCCACAATTCAGGTCTCTGCACAGAAGAAGAAATCGTCGAGGAGTAAATCCCTCAGGAGAAGGTTCTCCAAAAGGCGATCGCTGACGAAAATAAACAAACTCAGTAAAGACGTCAACCACGCCGACATCACGCGGGTCGAAGGTAAGTTTGACGATTGAACGATTGTTGGTGTGATTATAAGAAATGACAATTAGTTGGATTATAAGTGGAAATCTCCGCTGACACGGGACGCAGCTGCATGTCAACACTGACTGTTTCTTTTCCAGCTGTGGAATCGACGTATCACTACTACGAGACGGTGTCACAGGAGCTGGAGAAAATTGTCCACGAGGTTCAGGAAAACGAGGAAGTTGTCCCCCTCTCTGATGGTGAGGACCGTATTGCATTATAAAAAGCGTCAATAAAATGTTCTGCTAAGCAGAAAAGGTTTTGATATCAATCTTATTTCTCTTGGCTTTGCATTTTAGTTTTAGCTTTCCCGTCACAATCCAAAGGTGACCTACATCCCCGTAATTGTATAACGTGCTCGCCGTATTAATTATACTTCCCCTTGCTTTTGTTTTTCTCAGTGGAGGTAATGAACAGGATCATTGCCTTGACGAAGGAGGAGGGTGACGCCATAGATTGCAAGGTTTGTTTTCATTTCTGAGTTAATAGAACTCTACGATACTCCAGTGACGTCTAATAATTTTGTAAATATTTACTTGAGCATTAGCTTTTAAATGCTTCAGATAGACTGGGCTTATTCGTGAGATTATGTAATTAGTTAATACGCATATGAAGTATTTTGGGGCTTCAGCAGTTTCTACAGAAAGCCACAGCACATCAATAAACAACGTCGTAAAGTTCAAACCATAAAAAGTGCAAACTCCAGGGCGAGGGACTGTGAGGTCATTCTTATGCAACAGCGTGTCCCGCCGTGAGCGCCGCTCATTCGTCACCGTTTCTGACAGTGAGTGTTAATCGCACACGAGAGACAAAAGGGCTGCTGTGAAAACACCGTAGGTCACGTGACCTGCTGCGTAATTTCACCGCCGATCAGTCAAAACAGGGAGCGTGATGACAGCACGCGTGGGCTTAGCCGACTCGTATTTCACCGCCATTTCTACACTTTTTTAAAGATTGGTTGTAAAAATATTTTTTTACAACCATGTATATCAGCAGTAAAATCCCGGAAGGGTCAAAGTGTTCTGTAAATACTGACAGACTCCCTTCCCCGTCTCCTCCAGCTGAGAGACAACCCCACGCTGAGCAACTTCTTCAACGGGATGTCGTACTCCGCCTTCCAGAAGTTGGCCGACGCCTACCTGGAGACGGAGGCGACGCCGACCCATAACCCTCCCACCGTCCTGCCGACGGCACCCGAGCTGGTCAAGTTGGCCTTCACGCTGGACTTCACGGCCCGGATAGCCGGGCTCTCCAGACAGAACGTGGGACACATCACCGGCCTGGGGAACCGCTATCTCCACGACCGATTCAAGTACCAGCAGGTAAGAATCCGACCTGTTGGGAACGAGGCAGAGCCGGATGTCAGAGACGGACACCTTTCTATATTTCATCTGCGTAATAACAAATGGGCACATTAAGCGGTTGGTTTAAAACGTTGTTTTGGGGGGTCTTTTTTTCAGGCGTGTTCCGATCACCCAGGGTCGGACAGCGAGGACTGAGGCGCCTCCGTGCAACAACAAAAAAATAAACGCTGCTGCAGCTGGAGGGCTGAACTTGTCTCTGCACCACAGATGTGGTTAAGGATGTGTTGCAACTCTTAAGTTTCTCCTTTTTTTTTTTTTTTTTTGAACACAAACACACAGACACTTGTTTTTCTCTTGCATTCATTTGCCTTTTTCGTGTTTTGTGATAGAAGACGTTTTCTGAAGAAAAAAAGGACGTTGAACGGCTTTGCTAGATTTAAATCTTAAGTGGAAGATGAATTTATAGAGCGAGCACAGTCTTAATAAGTGGCAATATTTTTAAGAAAAGCGGCGTTTGCCATTAAAATGAAGATGTTCTGCCCTTTTTAGATTGATTTGTAGTGATACAAACCAGTAATGTAATAACCTTTGATGTATATAAGATACCTTTTGTGCAATATTTGTTTACATTTGTAAGATATCAAAATAAGCCAAATAGAAGCTCCTCTGAAATGTGACATGCAAATTGTGTTTGTTGAATGCTGGCATTCATATAACATACACAAAATAAATATTAATTTAATTAAATATTAATTTAAATACTTTGGTTTTCTAGTCATTCTGTAACCATATAGCAATATCAGGCTTTGTTCTTGGGTAAATATCATCATGTGATTATTTATTGTGTGTTTGTCTCGCATTCTGCTGCAGCAAATTGCTTTAATATTCTGGGCGGACGCACGAGGCCCTCTCGTGACTCACACTCTCTCAGAAGCCCTTTTTACGACCTGTTGTACACAGCCGTCGACTGCCTGCCTGGCTCCTCACTCACTGCTCCCCCCAGCCGGTAAGGGTCGCTATACACAGCTTAGTGCTGCAACCCCCCCCCCACCACACACACCACACACAACACTGCAGCAGACTTTGCAGAGACACACGTCGCATATATCCGCTTTCTACCGAGGGGGCACCTTTCTGGTTGAATATTTATACCAAGGAACCCAAACCCAGTCCTTGGTGGAGGGGACGTCGAATAGCATCGGCCGTGTCTAATAGCTGGCAGTGTTGGTTGAGCTGCGTATACAGTATGTGTGTGTGTATATACACACATGTGTAAGCACGGCTTACTGGCAACATTTGGGAGAGTCACACATCAATAGGTGAGGAAGTACTGCCCTGTTGTGTAAGAGGACCAGCAAGGCCTCGGCTCTTCCACGCCCGTGTGACTACACACCTTCTCAACTGCACGCGCAGATGTTTAAAGAAAACACGACAATTCCCAGACCCAAATGAACATGCCGTGTCAGCGCTGAAGCGGCGCGCATCCGTGGAGACGGCTGACATCTGCATGACAGCCGAGGTTATAATTATGAGACCTGACAGTCTGTCAGTTCAGGCATTGAGGCGATGGCTCCCACCTGTGGAACAGGTTCCCCTGCAGGCAGGAGGCCTTTTAGCCTCGCAGCGCAAATGTGCACACGTGGGGTTGTTGTGGATTTCGGCGGCAGCTTGGTATGAGTCGTCAGGGGTAAGAGGGGGAGGGGGCACAGGTCAACGGAGACAAAGATGGAGAGAGCGCTCAAGGACGCGATGGTCTTTGCGTCCTCATTCACTGCCACGAGAATGAGAAGTTGCGCTAAGGAGCGAACTGTGAAGGTAGATCTTTAAATTCACAACACCATCACATTGTTGTTTCATTGTTGCTCTTTTTTGTCAACGTAAAAGTGACGTCTTGAGCTGAACTTACTTACTTTGTTAACAAAGATAATGGGAAACATATAGTGAGACAAAAACAACAAGTGCAGGGGAAGTTAGTGGAAAAATAATGGTTGCATTTCAGGATTGCTCAACAGCGAGTTCAGTGACTAAAGAAGCCGTCACACAATCAAAATGAAATGAAAAAGTATTAACAAAAGGCCGATTGTGATGCGACTGATGACTCACATCAACTGTACACGGGTCCCGTTTCCTGACACAAACATGCAAATACTCTGTTGTTTCAAAGCAGACTCTCGGGCCAAGTGTAAATAGGTTTTAGGTTGTCCGATACCAGCGAGTAAACCCGGCCGGTACAGTGAAACTGGGAATAGATTATTAAATCAGGAGCATTTTCATCCACCTAATAAATTCAATAACATAAAATCTACACTTTAGTCATTCAAAATGGGTATACTCTAATGGAGGGAACATGTATTCTTACTTCTTGAGCTAAAAAGCAACATGACAACTTTAAATTTTGAATAGAACTTGGTTGCCAATAACCAGAATAATTTCAACTCGAGTCAATTTTTTTTCTAGTCACGCAGAGACTAAGTTTGAATTGTCGGACCACATGGGAGTTGACAAACTACTTTATTCCATGTGAATAAAATGCAGTTTATTTCCTGATTGGTTTTGTTTAAATGTTTTTCTGCTGGTCTGATACAAAAACACGAGCTGTTTAATACATAAAATGACTGTCGTGACAACAGGTCTTTGGTTTGTGGTCGGCATTAGATTCTGACGTGTCCCTTTAATCTGCGGCCATTATGTGGTCTGGACCACCAGCACGACCGACTGACCACATGCAGAGTCCAGATTGCCTAATGATGACACGTTGCCCTGTCTGGACTATTTTTAGCCAATAACAAAATAACTTAATAAAGTCTGTTAGCCAGAAAACATTAAGAACCCCAATGGTGCTGAATTTTAGTATAGTAACGTTTGCACGGCCATCATTTGTGACTATTTCAAACCCAATTACAGAGGACAAAGACAACATGTCGAGTGTAAACCTTTTACATTTTTATTGCTTTTCAAACACACACAAGGCAGATTAATCAAAGAGTCCAAAGCCCATATCTTCGTCTGACTCTTCGGACTCTTCTTTCTTCTCCTCCTTTTTCTCTTCCGCTGGAAAAGTAAGACAACAGTCAGTACTTCAGACAGACATCCGGGCGAATGTTGAGCAGCACTTGTATCCACATTTAGTTGTAGGACTGCTAACGAGGGCCGTCAAAACGGGATAATATGACAACCCTCCTCCACAAATATCAACCGTTTTCAAATTTACATTAAGAATGAGGAGACTGTACACACCAACAGCAGGCGCAGCACCAGCCGCCGCCACGGCGGCCGCAGGAGCCGCCACAGCCCCTCCTGCTGGTACGGAGGCTAACTTAGAGAGGCCTGAGGACACAGAAAGTAAAAAACTATTTTAGCACCTTTCCCCACATACAACCTCTTGAATGCGTCGATGCATTTTCTATTAAGAGCACTTTACCCGAGTTCATGACTTCGTTGATGTCTTTCCCATTAAGTTCACTTATGACCTGCAGAGAAAAAGACGACTCAACTTCAGCACTAAAAATGTCAAGAGCTTTTGAAATTGCAGAATATGGCGTTAAATGGGGTACTTTGTTCAGGCGTTCGTCCTCGGCCTCGATTCCCACGCTGCCCAAGATGTCCTTGATGTCCTTTGAAGACGGGCTGGTGTTTCCACCGAGCACAGCCAGGAGGTAAGCGGCCACGTAACGCATTCTGTGCTCACAAAAGGAAACAAACAAATTAACGATTTGTGTGCAAATATGGAATTTACGAAACGTGACGTTGTCAACTTGGAGCGATTCAATTGTGATGGTCATTTGTCACCACATTTGCAAAAGGATCAAGGGGAAATGTAGATATTTTAAATAAAAAAGGCACAGGGAAATGTGCATTTTAATTGCTTCTGTCAACAAATCAGTCATACATTCGGTTTTATCTATAAAAATCAAAAAGGAAAGCAGTAATATTGACGTTTAGTTTTCCATTGAACTTCGTGACTTCTCGTCGGGTTCATATATACTGAATGGATCATCTTACAGAGTGTAATAAAAATACCCTGAGAAGAACCCTCACGTCTCATGCGGCCCACTGACATTCAAGCATCCTCCACCTGACCGGTTTATTTTTGTATTTTTCCGACAACGTAAGCTCTACGTGAGCTTTATTAAATCATTACAAACTCATACGCTGGCACACTAGTAAAGGAACTTCAGAATTCAATGCATAACCTGCACGTTGTATTAATGAAATGCTCGGGCGGATCGCGGTTGACGTTAGCTTAGCGCTTGTTAGCGTTAGCTGGTCGCATGTCGTTACGAGTCTTAAGACCTCCCCGGAAAATACAAACGGGAATAAAACACCCAAACGTCGGCGTTTAAAGTTCCGCGGGTTTAATTTGTAGCGTTCATTTTTTCTGTTCCGCTGTGATTCCTTTGTGATGTGAACGTAAGAAGCATGGCGGCCGGTGGCTTTACAACAAGCGCCAGACGCCTTCCATTATGTGACAGCGGCTTCTGCTCCGGCGCGTCCCCGTTTCTCAGGAGCCAAAACCAAACCTCGAGAGCACGTCGCTCTGAGGAAACACGGTTTGACACCAATCGATTTACAAACATGTGTAAAACTATTATAATTTGGACTTACTTTAAGTCTAAACAGACACGAAACGTCGGTCACGCTAAGAATAGATCCGGAAGAGAGGGAGCGTTGAAACAGGAAGTTGTTGAAGGCTGTAAGCCGTTGATTTGATTGGTCCGCTCAGACCGACGGTGACGTCAGTAATGTGACGAACCAATGGACGAGTGTAAATTCATTAGTTTGAGGAACGTATCCATTAACTTTTTTATACTTTTAGTTTTTAAATAACCATTCATATTAATTGTGCGGTTTTAAAACCATGTATGTATTTCATTATTAATATTGGTGGTTTTTGCATTATTAAGTAATGCTATAAAATAATCCTGCATACCACAAATGTCTACTTTTAGCGTATTTGAAGCGTGTCTTTTGCAAATAATCTATTAATATATTTATATATACATAATTTAATTATAGTAGCAGATAACGGAAATACTTAAAGTACGTAAAGCAAAAAACACCAAAGCAAAAGACTGTATGCAAGAGTTTAATTAAACTCCTTGAAACCTGATGTTTCCCCTTAAAATATCCCATAATTGGCTTTAAATGCGCAAATGTTAACTTGCAATACCTCATATTCAGTGTCTCCGCTAACAACAATTTTATAAAATACTAAATATATATCAATCATTTTCATATTTGAGCATTTTACGATTCATGTTGTAATGTCACCATCCTGAGGGGGACACAATATCAAGTTATCAATACACAAAGGAGGGACACCTCACTAACAAGATGAAGATGCTAAAAATGGTTTGTTTATAGTATTGCGTATGAAAGAACAATGATTCAGTTGATTGCATTTTTTATTTTCAATAATTCACCATCAAAACATAGTTTAGAGATGATCCCCAATACATTATGTGTATCTCAAGTTAAGATGGAGCTCTGATTCTTTACTGGGCATTTGTAATACCACAATGTAGAAAACACAAACAAATGATTACGCCGTGAAGTGTTCACCCTCCTTTCACGTCCTACAGGTCCAATAATTCCTCCTGTTTCTCCTGAGCGAAGAGCTGTTCGACCAGAAAGACCACCGAGTCTGAAACAAACTCTGCAATCTTGTTCACGTTCGTCACGTACCACATCTTATAGACAAACTCTCCCAATAGGATGATGACAAAAATGACCAAGAACCAGAGGAAGATGCGGTCCGCACAAAAGTTTGCCTTTTCTCTGAAGGTCCACTGCTCCCAAGGTAGCGCACGCTGTGCTTCATAGTATTTACCAAAGTGTAACAGGGCCGTGTGATCGCCATCCAGCTCGTCCTCCGGAGCCTCCAGGTCTGAGACTCCATCCGCTGCGTCGCTTTCAGCCATTTGACAGTGGTTCTCTGCTGCAAATGTCCCTTAATTGTCTGAGAATATCAAAACCACACGACAAATAATGCTTTTACAGATTGGCACACATATATATGGAGCTTTGAAAAATCTTTGCTTTTGCAGCTAGTTTTTTTAGGATGAATGAAAGATCTTACCTCACAAAAGATTAGTTTAGAAAAGAGATGAGTTGCTCACACAAGATTTAGACACTTTGGTTTTCTGTGTCTGCACAGCTACACCATGACTACGTCCCTTCAGGCCACAAGCCACTGGAGGGTGTGATACGAAGGCGCTGGAGGCTGGACGGTTATGCAGCACCTCCCTTGCTAAGACCAAGGCTGAGGATTAGACCGCACTCAGCACTTTGAAATCCCTCATCAAGGATGAAGGCGACAGATGGTAACATACGTCTTGATATGACGCCGGCAAGTTTCACGTGTGAGCGTCTCAGGCGGCCGCAGCATAAGCATCTCTGCCATGACCACAACAAACCCACATATCAGATGACGAAAAAGAACATCTACACATGCAAGTTACACATGCGAGTTCCAAACCAGATTGAGATTGAGATTTATTTAAGATCTGTAGGTGGTGGTAGTGTTACACGGACGGAAACCAGGCAGAAGGGAAAATGATGACACAGCAGAACTGACGAGGAGGCAGCAGAAGCTTTAGAGTCCGAATAAATCCCCTCAGCATAAAGCTCAATGACATTTTACTCAAATGTCTGCCACAGCTATTGAAATATGCCGGAAACCAGCTGAATGTCAGCGTTGACGAAGCGATGCTGGCATCCTCGGATTTCCGGACTGCTTTTAATGTAACTGCAGTTCAATTCCATTAGTTTTAGTGACTTAATGATTACTTTGCAATCTAGGCAGGGCGCTTCCACTTCTCTGTTTATTGAATGTCTTTCTGTGAAACGTGAAGTATCCAAACCTCTCTATTGATCCTGCACAATTCATTTCCACTGACTGTTCACTTAACCACTCAAACGTCCGATGAAAGTTTTTGTGCAAAGTGAAATCTCTCTTTTAGCCGAGCCATCAGTTTATTGGCCGTAGTGACGCATAGAATATTAGCATTTTCACTGAAGAGGTTTATTCTGCTGTATTTCCCAACAATGTCTTTGAACATAAAACATTTGTTGCATCACTTATTACGTCGGCATATTTATTTTAATTCAACATGAATCAATTGATGAAAGCCTTTGTGAAAACAAATACTTCAAATTATATTATTTTTCAATTGCAGGCGTGTGACTTTAAATTAGGAACAGATCAGAAAAGGAATTTGTCCCGTGACTCAATCAAGCGCTTTGCTTTTGTGTTCATGAATGTGTTGACAATGCAAAATATCCCTTAATCCCACGAGTGTCATGAGTGCACCATGTGATGCTTCGGCCTTACGGGTCCACGTCCCCTTTCTCTGTCTGGGCCCGCGTGCCGGCGGGACACAAGGTGGCCTCCTTGGGCTTACGTATCCCACAGCGCTGGCTGATCTTGATCAGCGTGACACGGAACTGCTTTATCCTGAAGGCATAAACCATCGGGTTGAGGGCCGAGTTCACGTGGGACATGAAGATGCCGGCGTACAAGGTGAACTTGGGCACGGACCACTGCGGGCAGAAGAAGTCAATGCAGTTCATGATGTGTATTGGCAGCCAGCACACGGCAAAGAGAAACACCACCAACGCCAGAGACTTGGCCAGCTTCAGCTCCTTCCGGTAGTACCTCTCTCCGTCGCACGTGGCCTCAGCGCGCCGATTAAGCTGCCGCCGGATCACCCGGAAGATCTCGGCGTACAGGGCGATCATGACGGACAGCGGCACCACCACCCAGCCGAAGAAGTTGAAGTACACCATGTAGTCCATCCTCATGACCGCGGTGAATTCGCAGACGATGTCGCCGGAGCTGCTGAGGTTTCCTCCCGCGTGGCGCCTGTTCCATCCCATCATCGGAACCAGTCCGGTGAGGAAGGAGAGGATCCAACACAGACAAACGGCCACACACGCCCTCCTCTGGGTCACTATGGTGCTGTACCTGAGCAGAGTTGTTGGAACACACAGTTTTGTAGCTTAGACGCATAAAATGATACTGTCCTTCTGCAAATATTCCTATCGTATATTCTTTTTGCGCAAGATTAGAGATGAGATTGTTGCTAAAAGGGATTTTTTATCAAGTGCCAGCTTTTGACATCAGCAAACAAAAAGCAGTATGGGCGACTGCCAAAATCATGTTAAGTAATTGTGTCAGTTGTTTTGCCAGACCAGGAAGTTTTAATTTGCTTAAAAGCTTCTGATATCCAATGATTTGTAAGGATAGATGGTGCCTTATCAGACACTGAGACGCACCTCTTCCCGAATCACTCTTTGATATCTTTGAAATTGAAATCACACATTTAACGCTCTGAAAAAACAACAATTAAAAAGAAAAGCTTTTACTATTATTTGGGTAACATTATATACAGAAGGGTAATCAGGATGTGTGGGATTTCTCTTCCCCAATATGTTGATTCTTAGGGACAATATTGTAACTCGGGGAGAAAGAAAGTGAAATGTACTCAGTTTGACTTGTATGGCAGTGATGCACGGCGTGTAGTGACGTGTTAATAGAATCAATCTGCATTACGCCAGAACAGCCAACGAGTTTGAAAAAAGCATCCATTTCCCACTGATCCCGGTCATGAATATTTAATTGTTCTTACCGTACACTGAGTGTCGCTAATTACGGCAAATTGATTCGGTAATACTTTCTCAATCAATGTCGTCACCGCGCTCATCATCCAACACAACCTTTTCCCCAAAATAATCTCTACTTAATCGCCACCAAACTAAAATACGCTTCTCAAAAGTGAAAGTATAACCGACCGCTTTGACAGAGGTTCCTCACCTGGTGGGAATCTTGACACGAAGGTATCGGTCGATGGCGATGGCCAGCAAGGAGAGGATGGAGCTCTGCGTGATGATCAGCAGCAGGCACGACAGGAAGAGGCAGGTGTAGAACTGAGTTTTAAATCCAAGACTGAGGATGATGGCCAGAGGGATGACCAAAACCCCCACGGCGATATCAGCCACGGCCAGAGACACGATGAAGCAGAAGGTGGTGTTGCGGAGAGCTCGGTTCACGCACACCGCCAGCACCACCAGCACATTGCCCACTACGGAGACCAGGGCAATCGCTGTCTCTATGGAGATGTACATCACGTCCACATGTTCCCGGGGCTTGATACCAGGAGAGGAAGACATCTCCACGATTCACGGCTTACCTTTGCTCCGGTTGCAAAAAAAAAAAAGAATCAAAATTGGTGGTTGAACCTTCTTGCCTCCACTTTGGGTGTTGTTTCAGCAAAAACATCATCCATTATGAGTGTTTTAGAGCTGAAAGGACTTTTTCCTGTTTGTCCCATTCACACAATGCGGGTCCCTTGTGTTCCTGACGGGATGTTGGACAATTAATCCTTAGCATGTTGTTCAAGCTTTGCGCGAAACTGGATTCCAGTGCATCACCTCTCCCCCGGTTTCTCTCTCTCTCTTTTACTAATCTGTACAAAACGGTCCATAAAACTGAGGGGCGGAGCTTTACTGCCTGCAGCATCCTGCAGCAGCAAATTTTGTTGTACGAGTGTGTGCGCGTGTGTGGTTTCTGAGAGCAGCTGTGGGCTCTACACAATAAATGTCAAAATGTATTTTGATTCCGGTGTTGATAATGCATAATGAATAAATAAAATATTGATATGCACTAGAGAAGATGTCATCTTATTACTTCTTCATTTTATTCTTGCAAGTTCTTGAGACAAAGAGCGGATATTACATCATCTGTACATGTGCATTAGTTCAATTTATACAAAAATGTCCTGCTCCTCCTTATCACAAGGGATGCATTCATTTAAAGAATTGGAAATACATGGTTGACGTGAATAAAACAGAAAATTCTACAAAACAACTACACCAGGTTTGTTAGGGTTGGTAGAAAACAATATGCGTAGTAAACAGCCTTCTATTCGATTAATGTAGCAGCAAAGACCTTTAGTGCTTTTGTTATGATGATATTTCACCACATTCAAGTGGCGCTTCTTTAATACATGTTTCAGAGCCACAGCGACGGCGTTTCATTTCAATGATGCACATTTTCCTCTCCAAACTTTTTATAGCTTTGACACTGCAGATTAAACCGCACGAAGGAATTTGATCCAAATGTTCGTTGACTTATAAAAAACGTAATGTAATATTCCGTCAGAGAATGAAAAGAGGTTGGCAGCAGGTATCACTGAGCAGACAATCCATTAGATGGTCTTCAGTTGCTTAGGGGAGCAAATAAAAAAAATAATGTCTGCCAGTAAATATACTCAGTCTAATACGGTCTGACCTTTTTTCATAAAGAAAGTGATGACTCAGGACTTTGTTTCTCAGTTGAAGCATGAACTGACAATGACTCTGTTTCAGTTGCATTCATTAGCTTGATTGGCATGCATTATCACTTCCAGTCTGAGGATGCAAAAGCTGTAAATGTCCCAAATACTGCCACATCTGCCACATTGGTTCAGCACTCAACAGCCGTGTGCTGCGTTTATTGCACTTTAATTGTTATTGCAGCCATTCATTTATTGCATTTTGTGTCTATTCTTTCAGTATGCCACACAAAATAAGGGTGATTTTGGCCTGTTAAACTAAAGAAAAGGCATGAATGACGTAAAGTCGCTTTTTTATTTGTCCCTCTTAATCATTTTGCTTTTTACATTACGTTTAATTATGGAAATTCAAATCTCCAACAGATCTGTAATTTTAAAAAACATTTTCCTCCCACCATCAGGACATTGCAATTTTCGGACAGCACGACGACGACGGCTTCCTTCTTTATGAGCCCATTCACATGTGGGTAGAAGTTATTAACACGGGCAACCTTCCAACAATCCTAATCATCAGCAATAAACCCGACAAATCCTGCGGAGGAGGCAATCAGAGGCAGAGTGGGGCGGCGCGTAGTGGATTCTCCCCGCGGGAAATACATCGACCAAGCTAATGTTAATAACAGGCCGCGCAACTGGCAATGGGGAAGAGGTCAAAGAGAATGCACTTCAACGTTCACAGAAAGCACACTAATCTCCAGAGCCATTGGTAAAACGGCTGAGTGCCTCCCCCTGCATTAGACAGATTACCGTATACGTCGTTATTTCGTCCACAAATATTCTTCTAAAGAATACTCCCTTTGGTAGCGTCCCACCAAACCTCGTTATTCATAAAGATGACGTAATGAATTTGATTATGGCCTTGTGAGGATCCGCTGGCCCATGTGGCGCAGAGATTATACGAGGGTGGAGCTTCTATTACCGGTTCCAATGAACAAAATGACTCTCAACATCCAACATCCTCACAGAGCATTACGGCTGAATGCAGAATTCATTTCACTGAAAGAATGACTCGGTCTTCCTTTGAGACTAAATCAACTCGTCTCTCCACAATGATACGATTGTTCGAATTAATATGCGGATTAATTAATAGGCGCGGCTTTGAATATTAACTGTGCAGCAGGGCGCCCTACTGATGTATTAGGTTGTTTATTCAAACATTGCATGTTGGTAACCATGTTGGCACATACACAGACAAGGAACCCGTGGTTACTTAATTCTATAGTTTGTGTAACCTTTGCGTGTGTGTCTGTGTCTGTGTGCGCGTGTCTTTTTTTCAATTTAATTTAGACAGTGGTTTCACAGGTTTATTCTAAAGTTACTATTAAGGAACAAGAACACTGAAAATGATGCGACGTCTAAAATGCATTTTAACTTTGGTTACGGTCCTCAAACAGCCTGTGTGCTGGAAGAAAGCTCATCTTTAATGGACATTTCCCTTTATGCTCTCCATTGTTTTTCGTTCTTTCTGTCAGGACATTCTGACACACACAGGTGGGGGAAACCAGTATCCCACATGCCATTTTGTTTTCTGCTACTGTTACTACTGTTGACGAAGATTTGACGGAGACTTTAACTTTAACTAATTTTGTATCTTCTGAAGACCATTTGCGTCAACAAATTTAGTTTCGTCATAGCAAAGGTGGTAAATACATTTGCACGCAATACTTTTCAAATTCTTATTTCTTTTCTTGGTAATTTTATTGCACCAAAACGGGGTTCATTTTATTTACTTTTACTCAGTCATGGCATAGCACTAAGACTGAAATGCCACCATATAATGAAATACGTATTATTATACGAGCCTGAAAAAAAAATCTAGATGCATAACTTGCATGCAAAATATCTTGGAGGAACATCGCAAAAAAAAAAAAAAGACTTCCTCAAAAGTTTCACAACCCCGAGATGAATGATAAGTGGAACAGCTCGGCACGGCGCCGCACATTCAGGCTCGGACTCACATTCAGACTCGTTGCGCCGTTTACCGCCAGATCTGTGCCGGATGGAGAGCACAATGGACACGGGAACAGTGATCTACATGTTCTTGGAGTTGCTGGTTGCCGTTAGCTGCTGTCTTGGTAATGCACTGGTCATTTTGGCGCTGTGGACCAGTAAAAGCCTTCACCAGCCCACCTTCTGCCTCATCGTCTGTCTGGCCGTGACCGACTTTCTGGTCGGCCTCGTGGCCATACCGTTGGCGGTGTTCGTGGACAGCAAAGTAAAGACTTCATTCCACGTCTGTCTCTTCCTCTGCTGTGTGACCATCCTGTTGACCCTGGTCTCAGTTTTGTGTCTCATGGCTATCGCAGTGGACCGCTTCCTCCGGGTGTATATACCTCTCAGGTGAGCCCATTCAGACGTACTCACGCTTCCTGAATGCAGAGGCAAGTGAAAGTGTTTTTAGATGAGGAAAAAGTTTGTTGTTTTGTTAAACATGTTCATACATGGTCAGAGCACTCAAATACATACATGTTTGGCGAGGCTAATCATTGCTTATTTTCTGCATGTAGGTACAAAAGGACAATAACGCAGAGACACTCTTGCCTTGTGGTAGCAGTGTGTTGGCTGCTGGCAATACCCCTGAGTTTCGCTCCCATGCTTGGATGGAACCAAAATGGCACCAACTCGACTATTAAATGCAGTTTTATAAAAGTGGTGCCCCTGTCGTACCTGGTTTACTTCAACTTCTTTCTCTGCAACCTGATACCGCTGTCGGTGATGACTGTATTGTACGGCTACATCTTCTGCACCATCCGAGGAAACCTTCGAGAGAAACCAGGCGAGAGACCCCAAAATACGTCTCAGAACTACCTGAAGAAAGAGAAACAGCTGGCGGGGTCTCTGTCTCTGGTCTTGTTTCTGTTTGCCCTGTCCTGGCTTCCTCTCCACATTATGAACACCATTGATTACTTTAATGGGCCACGTACAGTACACAAAATAGCTATCTACGTTGGCATCCTGCTCAGTCACGCTAACTCGGCCGTAAACCCAGTCGTGTATGCGTTCAAAATAAAAAAGATCAAGACAGCGTACATAGAGCTCTGGAGAAAGTACATCGCGTGTCGAGGAGAAAACCAAGGGACTCAGACAAGCCAGTCGACAGACAACAATCTCAGCAACAACGACAGCTGAGACAAAAAACGAGGAAAGGAAGATGTCCTTGTTGGCTTGTGTCTTCGTTCTTAAGGTGCAGGTTTTATTTTCATAGCTGTAATTAAACGTTCATGTTGACATTTAAGAAGGCAGCTACAGTATGTAACCACCTTGTTTTAGATTGTCGAGGACGATGTGCATATTTATTCAGTGAGAACATGTTTAACAGTTTTTCACTGAAAGTCGTGTTTTACTTTTATGAATGTTTGAGTGTCGTGCGAATGTGGTGGAGCTTGTATGTGCAACTTTTGTGCAATACTGTCTTTCAGAGAAAAGCACTTCCACTTTTCTTAAACGCTTTTGTTTAGTTTCAAATCACTTGTTTTTTCTGTGGTAGTTCTTCATATCCTCTTCAACACAAGAACACTTGCACATATTAGCTTCACTAAAGAAACCCTTTTAATACTTGAAGTGATTTATATTTGTTTGTATTGGACAGGCGTGAGCAACCATCTGTTAATATTATTCCAAACATAATTGTCTTTATTATTAACATTGCAGTCCAACACAACAACAACACAAAGTATAGCCTCCAAGATGACGAAAAGTGGATTTACATTTCAAATGGATTTGCTGTCCATTGACCATTTTACAACATATTGCAGAGATGTTGGACGGCATTTACACTGTTCAGATATTCCTCATTATCAATATCAGCAATATTTAATGGACCTTGAGCTACTGGTGTGTTTTTAAGTAGCAGTAGTAAAAATATATCAATGCATATTTAGTAAAAGAATTAAAGAATTCCAGCCTGAAAAGTATTTGTTGGTAAATCTTTCATTTAAATGTAAATAACCTGCAGCCTTACATTCTAAGTTCAGTTGCCGTCATGTTATAGTTTGTTTTTCATTTCCTGAATTTAAAGTCCATTTCCTGAATGCGACCAAAGCAAGGATGATGCACAGAGAGGTGCTGAGAAGAGGCAGCTTTGAAGTTAGCATCCACCTGGTTCCCTGCATAAAAAGCCATGGGGATTTTTATTATTCTAGAAAATGAGCTTTTTCAAACACAAAAATACAAAACTTGCGTTTTTTAAATACAAGACAATGTTCATAAAGGAAAATTAATTGTGAATTGTTAATGTAATGTCAGAAGAAAAAACGCTTGTGTTTGGCTATAATCAAAGAGCACAGAAACAGCAGCGAGGCGAGTCTGTGGTCCGATTTCGCCCGTGGGAACCAAAAGTGCAAACTCTTTTCTGCTTTTAAGATTCGAGATGCACAAATGTATTGTTTCAATTCGTTTTGTTGTAGACTAAAGGCAGAAAAGCCCACTAGTTGGCTCTTTGTGGGACTCAACGGTGAGATGCACTTTCCTGTCGATGAAGCCCTTCCGCGCCACAAAGAGAATTGTACCAAGAACCGTTTGGTTGCGGTGCGAGGCCCCCGCTCTTTGATGCGGACCAGAGAGCGGTTGTTTTGTCTGAGCTGGAGTACGAGTCGTGCAAACTGCACTGCAGGGTAAACGCTTGGAAGATAGATTCAGATAAACCAAACAAAGGTATGTGCACGCAGCCTAAGGATATACTGTTTACAGCATGTTTTTCGGTACACACAGTGTGTAACGACTCTGTTTGTCAAATTGAAACCAGCCGTAAATTGTTTATGAACATTTTTACAAGTTACTGTGATCCACATTTCTTTTGACGCGAGCACACTGGTGTTTCAAACTCTCGCTGCAGCATTCATTACATTACATTACAGTGTATCATTTGTAAGATCTCAAGCCACAATATCTCATTTCCTGTTTCTGTATGTGCAAGGCTCAGCAAGCTTAACGGATTTCAATCTTCTATAATTACATTTTTTTGCTGACTTTTTCAAGACCAAACATATTGGAAACAAACTTTTTACATGATGGTGTGAGTAAGAGTATTCCGTATCAGATGCACTGAAGAGTCATGATTCCAAACTGCATTGTCTAATTAGCAAGACATTACCAGACTGGCTAAAACATTTAATCAACATCCTCTGCTTTCCAGTTACTGACACATTTCAAATAATACAATTAATAAAAAATAAAAAGTTATATGGTGCTTGTTAAAAAGTCAAATAAAACATCTAAATTAAAAAATGAAATACTCAACAATAAATAAATGAAGCAATAAACTTTGCAGAATTTCAGATACAACATTTTTGTTTCCAGAAACAAATAAATGGCATAGTTTCTTTCAAATATATACATTTATTAGATATTTGATATACTGCATCACATACGTGCAACAAAGTTAAATACTGACCAAAAAATTGTGGTGATATCAATAGGATTCTTAGTGATTTTACAGGATAAACTACTGATTGCTGCGTCTGATTACATCCTCATCATTTGCCATCATCAACATATACATTAAAACATACAAATATTGATTTCCTTGTGAATATGTTCGCAGATACACACAATCGAGTTCCCAAAGCTTCCAGTGTTTGCATTTATTTCTTTCAATTTCCGAAGTGATGGTAGTCTTTGTCCACACGATGGCCTCAGAGGGGCTCCGACGCCGCTCGCTCTGCACGAGTGAGCTTCAATCCAAGCACTCATTGTACCTCTCAAGGAAGGTAATAGGCTGTGTAGTTATCACCTGAGTAGGATTTACTCAATCCCACAAACTATACAACCTACTACCTCACCTCGCTAGGCTCAACTTCAGGCACACATGAAGGTACTGCTCAATATGTGCCAACTTGTTACATGTGGTTACTATGGACCAGTTTCATCATAGTGTCTTGTCAGTACACAAAGTTGCGGTTGTGTAACTCGAGGGATCGTTGTTTTAAAGAAATAAGAATTTCTAGGCACGCAGAGAAAATAACTACAGCAACCTAAACCGTAAGAATTAACATCAGAGATCCGATAACCAACAAACAGACGGTTACTGTAAACTAAAAACTATTCAAAAACGGCGTGACTTGTTATCTCTTAACTCCGTGTGTCAGTGAGCTCCTTTATTCGCGCAGACTCCAGAGTACATTCTCACAGCAGATCAAGCCGTCTCCTAAGGAAAGACAGTAGACTGTATAGTTATCTCAGAGGGAGGACAGGGACCCCACAACTATTCAATCTACTACCTCAGCCTTAAGGGCAGATGCCTCTGCAGGAAGCAGTGGGAACTTGTCGGTCAAACTGTGAGACAAAAACAGAGAGCGATTAAACACAGTTTTTATTCCACTCGAGGCAAACAGCAGTTCTCAGTTGTGCGGCGGCAACTCAGGTGACACGTCGCTCCACCAAGAGATCAGGTAGTCTGCAGTTTTATCAGGAATTACCTTTTAGGAGCAATTTCCTCCCCAGACTCACCACATTGTAGCCTAGGTTGTAAAATCAAAGGTTTGGTTTACCAGAGTCTAAACCAGCCGGACGGTGCTACTAAAGATAAGTGTAACTGCACACAATGCTGCTTTGTTAACGACCAGCACACGAACAGCAAAGTGCTATCAGTTTTGTGGAAACTGGCTTCTAACGTTGGGCAGCTTTGCCAAGAACTAAAACTTATTTCACTCGCAAACTTGCAGCCACTCTTCACAAGCAGACAGAACAAGCTGCTCGGCTCAAGCTCTATTTTTTTCTTCTCTCTTCTCCCCTCTAGTTGCGTCCCTTTCAGTTTCAACAAAGCAAAGGGAGAACGATTGAAAATGGCAGCACCTCGGCCATCTTACGGAGTCGTTTGGCACCCGAAGCCAACATCTGTGGTGCAACCTGTTAACTTCCTCCTCCTCCGTTCAATCCGTGTCCACGAAATAGACCGTCGGTCTAACTACTGAAGGAATGGCTTCTTCATGAATAATCTCAGAGAGCTAATTGTTGATTTTTATCTTTTTGCCTGGGGTTTTAAATGGAAAAGCTGCAGGTTTGACTTCAGTTTATTGCCCTTTTTGGTCAGTTGCTAAAGCCACTTTAATTCCATTGGAAAAAAAAAGGGGGTCTGTTGTGCCAGCTGGAGTCTGGGCAACGAGCCGGGCCGAGCTGTCCGGGGCCCAGACAGAGCCCCGCTTTGGCCCCGGACCATGTTATGGTAGACGGCGATGGTTGACCCATGCAAAAGGCCCGGGACGCTTTGCATAAATTAACATGTGAACCGCGGCCGCTGAAAAGCGCCGGGGCAGTTCATTAACGCTCTAAATTCCTCTTTGGCCTAATTAATGGCGGCAGTGATGGAAATGTTTTGGCCGGCTGTTTGAGCAGAAAGAAAAAGGCACAACGGCGTCAGAGAGTGGGAGGACTTAATTGAGATGTTGAATTAATTAGACGGTAAATGCTATTAAACTCCTCCAAATGGCTCGTCAATGCAGAGCGGACGGAGGCAAGACTCAACTTTTTAATCAAAAGGTTGTCTGGACTTGTAAGTGAATAAGTGTTTTGGTGATGAAGCGCTACCGTCACTTTATTTGTCAGGATTGAGACTTATCCGTGTTAAGTAATCAAACCAATGATAGAAATACGAGACTATTGAACACACACACAGATACGCACATACACAAGTAAAGGTTTTGCATTGTTTCACAAAATAATCAGCAGTCAGTCGCATTCAAACGTCTGTTCTTACCTTCATTTTCCTAAAATATGCTGTCTGTGATTGTGCCTTTAAACAAAAGCTGTACAAGATGTAAACCCAAATTCGTATCTCCATTACGATCCATTCGGGGGGGGGCGGATTGAACGTTTTTTTATACACTCGGATGTGGTGTTTTGACTTTCACGGTTCACCCGCCAGCTGCGGATGATGAGAAAATGGCTGCTCTGCTGCAGAGTACAACGAAGGACTAATGTTATCAATGCGTGACGTTCATGTAAGACTCACTCTGTCCCGTGTCAGGGACAAGTTGACTGGCGATGGTTCTTCTGCCGCTTCGGAGCAGCTCGTCTGAATGGCAACGGTATCAAAGATATCCATGTTAAATGCCCAGGTGGCAAAGGAACTGCAAATTCAGCAGATGAATGCGCCAAGAAATACACCCATTGCTTGTTGGCGCCGGTCCACGGTGATCGGCGGATTAGGGGGACGTCTGCGAGGTAAAAAAGACTGAGGTTGGTTCCCTTGAGTGGCTCTCTCCAATATTTGGTGCCAAGAAATGGGCATTGTCCGTGTGCCAAGCTGAATCTCAATGAGACAAAAAAAAAAAAGGGGCTGATGCTGTGGATGCAACGTCGCGAAAGCCACCGCTGAGGGGGGAGGAGAGCGTTGGCATCCGAGCAATGGGAAGAGGCCGTGTCAGGAAGGGGCTCTGCTACCACACAATGTGGTACCGGTGGCAGAGCTCACTGCCAGATGCTCCGCGCAAAGCACACTTTGTCCGTATGTTGGGCAACTGGTTCTGTTATGTACGAGCCCGTGGTGTCAGTTGAATCTCATCATCTGCGTTGCAGATTGAGATTTAATAAGGTCAAGTCAGCAGGCCAACAATCTTATTTGGAACATCATTTACAAATGAGCTATACTAAATAATCCTTAGTGATTTTATTTCAGTTGACAATGACGATCTAATGGCAGATGTTAGTCTTTATCTATTAGGGTAATTGTAAGGTTTTGTACAGTTATGAATAAAACCTCCTTCTCCACCTTCTCATAATAGTATAATGGATGTTTTCCGTTTGTTAGAAATGGGGGGAAAAAAGGACTAAAACTGATGGTATTTATTTGTCCAATCTTTTCCTCCTGTGAAGAAAAGCTAGATGTGTGCTATTGCAAATTAGTGCCAACAGTTTTTAACCGATCACATCGTGCCGTTCCTCCACAATGAACCTACACTTAAGCTCATTGACTTTTTAGCGCCCCAACAAAACGCAAAAGATTTGATCTATACGTCTTTTGTGCAGCGCTCAAACATCCTTTTTAACTTTACAGAAGCTAAACGCGCTCCGACTTCTGTTTCACTGGGGTTTCAATCTTACGCCCCTTTCGGGGGTCCGGACCCCGGGCTGGGAGCCACTGCAAGATTCAAGTTACAATGCCACTTCTAAGATAACATATATACTGCTACCGCTTCTACCCAATGCATGTTGAATAAAGGGCATAGTGCAAACCAAAGGTTTCAAATTGATTTAATTGTGATGCAGGCTGACAAAACCATAAATGCTTAAATACAAATTCTGCATCTAAAATTCTTTGGGCTGCCCGTGTAATCAGAAACCTTTGAAAATGCTCACTGCATGTGTTGTCTTCTGTAGGTGTGTGTCAGAACCATGTGAAATATGAATCTTAACTAGACACCGACTTTAACAAGAGACCACGGTGAAAAATGACTATTTGTATTGTTTGTTGTATTCAAAGTTGGCAGCTTGATGTCAATACAACGAGTGAATGAATGTATGGACAATCGAAATCTATTTGTCATACGCGGATCTTGTTGCAGGAAACCAATCCAATATTCCACACAGTGAAACTAATGCAAGGTCACTGGTGGAACATCTGGACCTTCCACACATAAATCTCAAGATGGATGTCTGGTGGCTTTTTGCTAAAACAGTTAATGCGAACCAGCGGTGGCCTGAAGAGCCAGATCAAATGCTGTTCATAGCCCAAGACGTGTTTGCCATCAGCTAGATGCGTTCATGCAGCACGACCTGATGAAAGCAACAACACCCCTCAAAAGATAGAGACTTTGATCCTGTTAACCACAGAGTCACTCTGCAACCGGAAGATAAAAACGCAACTAGCGGAGGATGTGGCTTTCCAAACAACGTGTCATCGAGCAAGTTCATTTCAGGACAGCCAGTGTGGGGGTAGTGGGGGGCGGAGGGCGGCGGTGGGGGGGGTAATACATTTATTTTCTCTCTTGCTGGCCATCATCGCTGCGCCCTCTCCGCTTCTCTTCTTCCTCCACCCTTTGTGTGCAACTGTCGTGATCACGACAGACAAAGACTGACGCGGCTCCACAACAAGTAGCATGTGGCACGTTTTAAACAATCGGTTCGCAACGAGTTTGGTTCGTAAAGGAGAGTAATCTCTGAAGGAAAGGGAGAAAAAAATCCCCGTTATTTTTCCCTCGCTGTGCAGATGTTTTTGTAGCTTTAGTGCTTTTTTGCGTTTAGAACCCAAAGGAAAAGGCGGGATCTAAGACCGAGAACCTCCGATCTTACAACGCCGGCGTGTACGGAACAATGGTTGGAACAGGGGGATCTGGTTCATACTGGTTTGTGACCAGTCCCAGCAAACCGTGGCGCCCGAGAACACATTAAAAATAATCTTTGAGCCTGTTCTTGTACTTGTACGTTAGAACATATAAAAGGACATGTTTGTAAAGGTGCTCATTTTACAATACAGCCGAAGGTTAGTTTGCGTTGCCTCTGCTGAAGAGATCTCGCACCTTTGTTGCAATCATGCGAGACAGAAACCAAAAGGTTTGATTAAAAGAGCTCAATTATTTTTATCTCTGAGAATTTCCGGTTTCAAACGTACTATCACTTTTAATGTGGGCAGGAGGTGGTTTGTTCGATCGAGTCACTGGAGTTCCAATGTCTTGTGGTAAAAAAATACTCTGATTTGCAGTAAATTTACTTGCATGTTGCTTTTTACAAGTCTTGTACTTTAACAGGAAGTTTCACAACCACTAAAATGTCTTATTATTTGTACACGTTTTATCGTTCGGAGCTATGTAAACACACTGCTCATTACAGTAACTGTACACATGCTCCTCCGGTCATTATGTCTCAACGCATTCAAACCAAGAAACAACATCCTACAAAGAAAACGTCGGCGTGTCTTAATTCAACAGAAACGGCAAAGGTTTTCTGCGTCGTGTGCAAGCAAAGCGTGTACACAAGCTGTACACGTGTACAGTGTGCAGAGTGAAGGTAAAAGAAGTGCAAAAGAAATGCATTCCGCTCAAGCATAAAAGGGATACTTCAGCACAAAGGGAGAATATATCGAGGCCAAAACAGAAGCTATATCACAAAAAAATCGAAATACCTGGAGGTGAGTTTTTTTTTTGTACAGGTCAGGTTAGTGTTCGCCCGCAGAGAATTGCGGCCGTGGCGGAGGCGAGCAAAATAAAAGATGAAAAAAGGCTGATTAGAAAAGGAGACAAGAATGCATTTCCACATCTCTCTCTTTCGCCCGCAAGACAAGGGAAAGGCTGAGCAGTGTACCAGCGAGCAACCCCACTTGAACAGGGGCTGGGGCTTGAGAGCCCTTTCTGGGCCATGCCCTCCTCTCTCCCTGCCCACTTTCACCCCGCTGCCAAGAGAGAGAGCGAGAGAGAGAGAGAGAGAGAGAGAGAGAGAGAGAGAGAGAGAGAGAGAGAAGGGGAGGCAAGAAAAGAAATCATGAAGTCAGAGAACTGTGCTTGCACCACGAAATCCGCCGCCAGGGTGGTGTTTAAAGGCAGACCCGAGCTCTGAGGTTGACACAGTCAGCTCGCCGCATAATGGGGATCAGTCACGGTGGCTGTAAATTATGTGTCATCAAATAGACGCCTCACTGACAATAGGATTAGGAGCTGGGCGGGGTGGGTGGGGGTGGGGGGGGGGGGGCATTAGAGAAAGGAGCCCAGGTAAAGAAATCCAAAGAATACTTACAAGGTGTCTGCAAAAGGTTTGACAGATTTACCCGCTGTTGGCCAAAGCGCTCGGGGCCAGATATTCCTGAAGCATTTCAGCGAGAGACCGAGTTAAAGGCTTCACTCAGAAATGTGGAGTAAAGCCTCTTGTCAGCAGTTGGCCTCATTCCCAAGTAGTAAATGCCTCATAGTTCCCATTTTCTGTAGTCACTCGGGGACGTCTTTATAGTTGTTCTGCACCTGCCTGTGTTTATATTTCTTCCAAAGAGAAGAACTAAAACCACTGAGGTTCTGATTTGATTCTGACCGTCGCAGTGAGAGGAAACTAGTCTTTTACGGTCAACAAAGCGGACCAGGCGATCCGCCCGGGATGTTTAGCGCAATGCATCAAGTAGCAAACTGTGTCAGTTCGGAAGTGAAATAACGGCAGCGAAAAGGGCCAATGTCTTGGGCGGGGGGGAGGGGGAGCAAATCCAAAGATAATGTTTTGCATGGGACGCCACCAGGAATTACAAGAAAAAACACTAAAATAATCCAGTGCGCGAGTCCTGAATAGAGCACAACACTTAAATGTTCAAATGTTTCCATGCCACAGAGCGCCACAGGCACTCATTGGTGTCTTTCCTCAGGCGATATCCAAGACAGCCTCCCGTGTGACGTCACTAACTTTTTTTTAATTTTTTTTATGTCCATGCATGTACTTCAAATCCTTTCCTTCCCCGTGCCGTCTTCTTTTTCGGGGCATGTTCTGTGAAGGATTTGTAGTAGCGAGCACGAATCACTGCGCTGCCGTGTCAGGCGGCTCCAAGAAGAGAGCGGAGGAGCCCGCAAACAAATGTTGACTCTGTCGTTCTCTTCCTGCTCACAAACTCCGAGCTTGTAAAAATTTCAGCTCCAAGGATTTGGGTCAGCCTCTATTGGCACCGTTTCAATAAAAAAAAAGTAGAAGAAAAAAAAAATAAAACTTCCTCTGCTGTCACCCTTTTTCTTTCTCTCTCTCTCTCTCGGTTTGTGGGAGTCGGGGCAGCGACCCCTCCCAGGACTTTTACCCTCTCGGGCTCTGGAGCCACCCTGTGCCAGCTCTGCCGTTGGGGCGAATCCGCCGGTCTGTTAGGTATCCACCACAGTCGGGATCGCTCCGGGGAGGCTGGTCTCTATTTACGGCCGCCCGAAGAATAGGAAATGCAAGCCGAAGCACTATTTCCCGGATACTCTGTCCTCCATTTCAGATGTGCGTCGAGCTCCCACGAGGCTCAGCGCCGCTTGTGTTACGGTTCACGCAAGATTCTGGCTGGTTTGCCATTCATTTGAGGCTCGGGTGGGTGGAGGTGGGATCTCATCTGACCTTCCACGTGGCTCGCCTCGAGACGACACGCGGTGCTCCGAACGTGCTTATTCTCTCCGTCGCCGTGTTTTTTCATCGCATCATTTGCTAACATAAATAATGAGATCTGGGACAGAAGGTCCACAACAGTAGGTTTATGCTAACGCCCGCCCGTGGTTTCACGTTTGGATTTTGTTCCTCCCCAGTGATGGTCTCACGTTACAAGGGGTGAGCCCTCTCTCCTCTTTCTTCGCTGTGAAATCTCTGCGCAGGCATCACAGACCTCTGAGCGCTGCTCAGGAGCAGGTAGGAAGGATGTCTGTGTAATACCTGCCAACACACACGTAACCCCACCCTCCCCCCTCCTCCCCCACCCGAAAGTTAAGTAGTGACAGGATTGATTACAGTACAAACAGAACTCATGCAACAGCGAACCTTTTTTTTTATACTTCCTCTCCTCACTGGTTGCTGCTCAAATAAAAACTCAACACGGCGTTAGACATCCATCGTTTGCGCTTCAGATCTACACAGTCGGATGGGGGTAAAGATCATATGACCTGCTGTAAGACATAGAAATGATGAGAAGCAACTGCTTATTCTCAGAGCTCATAAAAAATACAGTTCTCATTAACATAATGTAAAAGGTTGAAAGTTACATGCAGGCATTATATTCCAGTTGTTTAACATATCATGTTATATGTTTTAGGCTATAGGGGCCCATAAATCACAAAAGTCCTCAGCTCATCAGTCACACTTTACTTTATAAAACGTGTGTTACAGGGTTTATGCGCGGGAGCATTGAGGCACACGTCTGTATGCATCTGCATCCAGAAGGCATTCGAAGCTATAGGGAAATAGTTGGGTGGAATTGGCAACATTTTAAATTTAGTTTAAACAATATACTGTGAAAGTACTTGGAAGGAATTTCCAAACCGCTCAGCGTTTTCTGGCCGTCCAGCGGCCATCTTGGCCTCGGGGGAAGTTGTGTGAGACTGAAGCCTTGCGATCCCTCCTCGCCACCGCCACCTTCAGGCCGAGCTGTGTACTGTTTTTGGCACCAACGTTTATCAAAGGCGTAACAACCCGAGATTGTGATTTTCTCGGATGCCTCCCGAGGCCTTTCAACGGCTCACAGCTCACTATGCTAGCAGCGCTAACGTTGCAGCGCTTACCTGCGGGGGCGAACCCGGAGGGAGGGTGCTACGGTTCCCACGGCGACGTTGTAACCGCCGTGTGAGGGCAGTGCAGAGAGCTAGCCACAAAAAGAGCTAGCCCCAAAACCTGCACCAGATATTAAGGATTAGCTGGGAAAACCACTTCATCCTCGTGTAGACAGCACCACAGCCGAAATGTTAAGACTCCTTTATTTGTAACCCCGACTTCGTTTTTCAGCATGTGACCTTGTTGAATCAACAGTGTGAGATTGTGAGTTTCATTTTTATCTTCAACACAAGTGTCTTTCCATTTATCATGAAAAACACCTCCTGCCATTGTCCTCTATTGCAGCGTTCCACCTTCCTCGAACAATTCCTCCGCTGGGGATAGACTCATATAACTCCGACTTTCCTGTTTCGTCCGCATTGTTTGCCCTCGCAGAGATACGGACCGGCTTTGAGTTGATGATTCACCTGGCTCAGCGGTGCCACCGGGTTCAGCACTCGACCCGCGGGTGAACTAAAATATCCTCATCATACTGCCCCCCTTTCTCAAACACTGAAGGTTCTACCTTTTATGTATTTAACGTAATTCTTCCTGCGTCCATGTTTGTACAACGGCGTTGAGTGGCCGCCGTAACTTTGATTAATGTGTTTTCCTTTCATTCAGGCTTGTTGTTACAGTTGTTGGTGCAGTACGAGGCGGTTTTGAGGCCTCTCTGGTAAACTCCCGCTGCTTCTCATCGCTTCTGCAATGTTTACCATCTTGATTGCTCGAATAAAAAGCATCGGACACGAAAGCGCTTTGCAAAGGCAAACGTATGTTGAGAAACACACTGAAGTTTCTGTCTCTTTAAGATCTTGATGGCTTCTCCGCCGCTCCCTCGAGGTCGCTGGCCTTCCTCAGGCCGCCTGCCAACTGCCATGTTACTGTCGAGCGTTTGCAGAAATGCCAGCAAAGCCATTAGTCCGCAGCCCTTTTCAACAGTCAGCAGACTGGACAGCGTGAGCGGCGCGGCGGTGTGGAGGAACACGAGGCCCGGCCTTATGAAAATACAACACACGTCACTTTTCTTTCTTTTATATCCTTTCGCACGTGTGCTTGTTCTGCCGTGAGTTCTAAAGGCAGGACTGAGATCGCGTTTGAGGTTGTAGTGAACCACCTTTTCGTGAGAGAAAAGTACGTTTTCTGAACCGTTGTGGAATATCACTGTTGAAGTTAAGCCAGTCATGTACCTCCATCTGCCCCCTGGCGTCTCACAGAGGAGCCGTGTTTGTTTTGTCTCTTGAGGCACAGCAGCATCTGGTGGTTGACTGATGACATCACACTTTTCTAACATCATCCTGCTCCACACTCACACTGCTGCACGTACAAATACAGCCCAATGAAGAGAACTTTCACTTTTCACCTGTAGCTATAAACCACATCTAATTGCAATGCTATTTGTGCAGTGTGCGCTCCTTGTGTTTAGCCATGACACTAAATGAAAACTTTTTACCTAACTTGAATCTTCCTCACTTTCCTCCGGTATGTCTCTTTCTCGGGAACCTCCACAGAAATGCTCACAGATGGTGAGTTGCTGATTACAGCAGGCTAATCCCAGTTGAAGCCCTGGGCCTCCTGGTTGTGTGGTCGATTGGGGGGAACCTGTTGCTTTGTCAGAAAGCCTCTTAGAAGTCGGGTCATGTGACCCCTCTGTGGGCCACAGGGCGTGCAAGGAGCCTTGTGCACACTCCTGAAACGGATTGAGACAAACTGCTGCCAATTGGTTAGAGAACATATGCATACATGCAGGGCAAAACACACAGGTCTTGCATTGGATCTTTTGTCTGACGTTACTTGTTACTGTTTGCTCATAAAGACCAAAATCTGGATGTGCTGTAACCTCGTTACCCATCAGCCATGCCCCTGCACAATCGCATCCCGAGAGAGGCCTGGGCGCAAGACGGGTAGGTCAACATCACCACACAACAACGCGGAACATTGCAAATACATGCATAAGTTTGAAGCATTTCCCATATGAGAGCATGTAAGTGTTGGCTGCGCACCTCATTATACTGCTACATGAAGCCCTGCGACCTTCTGATTGGTCATTACTCATTTTACCACACCCACTTTAAGCTGGTACTAGCCGAGTCGTAGGAAACTAATTCACACGGAAGGTTCACTTGTTGTCAGGCAGACCCAAACTTCATCTAATCAATCAGCATCTTTTTTATCACAATTTTGTTAAACTAGGCATTTCATATTCCAGCCTTTCTTTGAAGAATTATTTGCTGGTTTCTTTATCTTCTTTGGAATTAAATTAGATATTGTTGAGTCAATATGAATATTACATTTTATTCACCAATCGATTAATCGATGAATCCAGAATATTAACAGATAAATTGACAATGAGACTAATTGTTTGTCATTGTTCTATTCCATAATCACACATATAACTACATAAATAACATGAACAACGTCCCACAGGTATTTTTACATAACAGAATTTATTTTTTATTAATGATGGAATTGATGAAGAACAACAGCAAATATAATTACATAATATGCACATTTAATTGTTTTTATTTCAGGATTCAAGAGCTTGACGATTCGGCCACGCAGCTGCAAGTTCAAGTAAATCTTTATCTTTTATTTAACTTTCGAAAAATATAATCTTGCTTTTGAAACTATAAACAGTAAAAAATATACGTGGGACTTTAGCTCCAGAGAATTCTGCCCGTCTGACTTGCGGTTAAATATGAGAGGAGGAAAGACGGAAGGACGTTGCCTGATGCAAACATGTTTTTGGTGTGCGGATACCGGCCACGCATGACAAACAAGTCCTGCGGATGAACGAGTGTCCTCCCTCCTCCTGAGCCTTTGTTGGTTTCTCCCGTTGACGTGTTTCTACACAGCAGATGGCTTTACACATAAATCCTATTAACAACTTTCTGCTGATGGAGACACAGTGAATACAGGGATTTCTTACTCTCTCGTTACCTCTGCTGAGGAGCCTGCTTTTTGAATTTTCTAACCTTTAAAGAAAAGTCAGAGGCCTCGTCATGTCTGCAGAGAAGGTAAACGAAGGGGGGGGGGGTTGTGTTTTTGTGGGTATTTCTTTAATTAACTTTCAGATGTAATGTAAATACACGTGTGATGACATGAAATGACATCTAGAGAGCGAGCCGAGGGATAAATCATACTTTTAATGAGAATCAAATAACATACAACAATATTCATGTGTGTGTTTATTCATTTTAATATTTACAGTAAAAATACTATACTTTTGGAACGAAGCATCCATGGGTGTGTTCTAGACATCTAGAAGAATAATGATGATGAAGATGTAAAACCCACAAACTGCTGCTTGTGCAAAAGGCCCCATGAGACAGATTTATTAAGTGTAAGATCCAACAGAGAGAATATTTCTGAAGCATCTCTTCACACAGCCTTCACACCTGACGTTGAGTTGTGTCCTCGGTTGAAGACGTGCAAGTTTGTTGAGCGATGCATCTGCCAAAGCACGCATGAGGGATTGAAGGTGCTCAGTAATCCAGCTACCACTTTCATATTGCCACTGTGGGGACGGCCATGTTGAATGAAACTGCCTTTCCTTTTTTTGAATCCTATGATCTACTTTTACAATTACAAAAACAGTTTTTTAGTGACTAGTCAAACAGACCTTCCATCGTCATACGCAGGAACTGGCTGCAGAAATGTGGCTCTTTTAACTCAGGAAAACGAGTTAAAATCGAGAATTTCAAAGGGACAAAAAAAGAAATCCGCTGCCATAACAGTGAGTTGTGGATTGTCTGGGAACACAAATAGACCTCCATCGTTGCAGGATCTACATGTAATAGGATTATCTTTACTGTCCCTGCTGGATGCAATCGCACTGACCTCCTTCCCTGTGTCTCGGGTCAGAGACATGCTGTTCTGCTCGCGGGTTTAGTGTTCAGATTTCTCACGCTTCAAACACGGATATGTACGGCTGTTTGTGGTATAGAAATTCTCATAAAGACAAAGATGCGGGGGTTCAGTATGACTGTATTACTGCACTTATGTGAAAATGTTCTTTATAAATTTGAATGTGGACCACTGAACTAAAAGATGACACGTTCTATGATATACTAGAACATCAGTAATAAAAGCTGTGTAAGATTTAACAATACAGTTCTTTTATTTGCTTCCTGCCCATTGCTTCCCTGCCCATCTCTCTCTATAATGGTGAGTTATTTTTATCAAGACCTTGAAATTGATTTGTGGGTTTACTCAAAGATATTTATTTTGTTTCTTACCTCTTTTTTTTGCTTTTTAATATGTTCTTTAATTTTTACAGAAACTCTTTAGAAGATAAAAAAGAAGAAAGAGGAGACTAACGGCACAACAGATGCCGAGATGAATGTTAAAGAAGCAAAGCCTAAAAAGACAAAGATTAAGAAGCAGGAAGATGTGTCCGATGAGGGAAGTCCTGCCGTCCAGAGTGAGGGATTTCAAAGAGATTATTCTTGCCAAAGCATTTAGTACGAAGAATGCAGATATGAAACACTCCACTCTGATCTGACCACATTGGTTCACTGTTGTTTCCCATCAACGTTATAGATGGAAAGAAGGTGAAGAAAAAGAAACCAGAAAAAGATAAAGAAGAACCAGAAAACGAAAAAGAGAAAGAACCGAAAAAGAAAGTAAAAAGTGCTCCGAAAAAGAAAAAAGGTAAGTCATCGATGAAGACCTGTGAGACGGTTGATGAAATACATTTTGGGAGTTAAAATACAAGTGAAAGTTTTTTTTTTACGCCGCAGCGGGTTCAGGCTCAGATAACGACATTGACAACGATGAAGAAACCTCCAAAAAAAAGACTAAGAAAAAAACAACAAAGGACAGCTCTCCGTCTGCAGCTTCGGCCAAAGAAAAGAAACCTAAATCTAAAGGTATGGCAAGAAGCAAGGAAACAGTTTAGCGAAGGCATTAACCGTTATGAGACCAGTCTAATGTCTTTAAGGGGATTAAATGATTTTATTGTGTAATGGTGAGAGAGTGGAAACACTGACCTCGTAGCAGAGGCAAGAAAATACGGCAATCAAGTGGTTAGAAATGTTGTTAAAACGGTCAAATCCTTTTTTAATGTTCCTACTCTGCTTTAGTTATCAGACTGCTGTGCACCTTTGTAGCACTTGCACTGTGCAGGAGATCCGCGCTAAATTACGCATGGAGGTATTTCCTTCCAAATTGTTGAACACATTCTCAATTAGTACATTTTAAAATTACATAACATTTATCAGCCAACAGATTTTTAAGGTTTTAATGTTTTTCACCATACAGAAGCTGTTTCGTAGGTCCCAATAGCCTTTATGTATTTAAGCTCTTCAGAATAAATGGCCTGATATTTACAGACATCGGTCTGGCTCTGTGGTTCGCTGAGCTTTCCTGTAGCTCCCCAATTACTTTTATATTTGGTTTAATATCCATGTTTACCATCATAAACTCGGACCTTTCATCAAGTGGCATCATGTGGTAAAATGAATTGGTCATAAACTAATCGTTTTCATGACGTAAACGTCTTCCATCGTGATGAGAGGCCTCTCATACTCAACGGCTCTTTGTGTTTAGTGTTAATTAGATCAGATCGAATATTTGATCAAACTATAATGTCACAAGTATTTTTTCTTTTCGGAGAAAATAAACTATACGAACACAACACAATTGTATCACTTTTACACTGACTTACTGCGCGATGTTCCAGAGTGTCGCCGCTCTTTTCTATCACTTCGGTTGGATCGTCTCCAGAGCTTTTGCCTTTGAGCTGAACTTAACCTCCGTCCACCTCGGATCAGGAATACCTGCTGCGACTTGAGCTGGTGGCTCCTCGCTCCTCTGGTGGAGTAAAAGAAAGCCAGATGCTTAAGCTCCTCGTCACCATGAAAAGTCAGACTTTTGGTTTACTTTTTAATCACAGTTTGGGGAGTAAAGTTAACATTCAGACTCACCCACTCAAGTCTATTTTAACTAGTGACTTGACATATTTTGAGAAATTAGTACAATTCTTAAAATAATAAGATAAGTCCATCAATCTCCAAAATATACAGGCACAACTAGTAGTGATCAGACTTTCCAGTCAAGATAGGAGTTGATGTTTGGACAGATTTGTCTTTGAGGAACAGGTTTAAAGAGCGAGCGTCGATTGTAAGGCGGAATATCCTCAGAGTTAAGTGCTCACCTTTCGATCTGAAAGGGGGGGTCTACCTTCCTTTGTGCTCCATCAGCTTTCCCCTTTGGTTTAAAACAATAAGACCCAGATATAAACATGTGTGACGGGTGCTGGTGAAGTTTAAACAGCTGTGAGAAACAGGGAGAGCAGATTTCAAACTGAGCACACATTAATGCTGCTCTTAAAATCCTTGCTCTCTGGTCGATCCCCCCCCCCCCCCCCCCCCCCCCCCCCCCACCCCCCACTGTCTGACACACAAAGAGATGAGATTTACATTATTTGCCTTTGAAAGAAAAAATAGATTAAATTCTTCGTTGTGCGCTTGTTTGGTATCAAATTCAAGGGCAAATAACATTTTTGAAATTCTCTATTTTCAGAGGACAAAGATTCTGACGGAAAAGAAAAAAAGTCCAAGTCGAAGGAGAAAGACAAGAAGAAAGAGCCAGCTTCAATGTTCCAGATAAACGAAGAGAAAAGCTCAAAAAGCAAGAAGAAAGGTGACTGATACCCTTTGTTAAACTGTCAAAGCTCAAAACTTAATAATTTGCCATTTACTTGGCTGTTTAACCTCCTTTGCAGCAAAAACAACCCCCATGCATCCTTGCTGAAAGTAGTCCTCATTGTCAACGTTTGTCTCGCAAGCAGTAGCCAAATCTGACAGTGATGAAAGTGAAGAGGAGGCAAAGTCAACCAAATCGAAGAAAAAATCATCCGCCGGAGCAGCGTCCATGTTCCAGACATCAGGGGACAAGGACAAAGACAAGAAAACCAAAAAGAAAGGCATGTTCACGAGCACGCACATTCTACTTTCAAGTGAGGACAAATAGCTGACTGTCTCTGATGTGTCTTCAAGCAAAGGCAGAAGAGAGTGATGATTCTGACTCTGAAAAGGAAGGAAAATCGAAGAAGAAAAAGGGCAAAGGGAAAAAGAAGAAGGTACCTCACACCTCACAATTCACCTTCAATTAAATTACACATTTTAGTCGACACAACGTTGGGACTCACTGCCGCTTCCTCGGCCAGGAGAGATCGCCGTCGCCCGAGATTCAGTTCGACAACTTGGAGGAGTTCGTCATGGAGCCGGCGACGCAGGGCGTGACCATCAAGTGCAGAGTGACGCGAGACCAGAGAGGCATGGACAAGAGCCTCTACCCTACGTACTACCTCCACCTGGACAACGCCAAGAAGGTCAGGGAGTTGGTGTACGTCACATCGCCTGCCTTCGTGTTGTGAAATCTAACCGGGCCGCTCGTCTGCTCCTCTTCTCTTTTTTTCAGACTTTCCTGTTGGCCGGCAGGAAAAGGAAGAGATGCGCAACTTCAAACTACCTCATCTCCATCGATGCCACAGATTTATCCAGAGGTGGAGAGAACTTTGTTGGAAAGCTGAGGTGCATCGCAAAAAAACAGTACTAATTCAAAAGTATCATACCAAATCTGTAAGGGCTCTTTAACTTATTTCACATTTCCTGTTACGTTGTCCAGGTCCAATTTGATGGGGACTAAGTTCACCGTATTTGACAACGCTCTGAATCCAGAAAGAGCTCTTCCAGACATGTCTAATGCACGTCAGGAGCTAGCAGGCATCATCTACGTAAGTTATTCAACAGCTCTTTCGGTTCAAAAAAACAAAAGTGGTACAATGTCTAAGAAAAGAAATGCTGATTTTACTTGTTTCTGACATCAGGAAACAAATGTCTTAGGAATGAAAGGACCCAGAAGGATGACCATCATCATTCCAGGAATGGACAAAAACAACCAGCGGGTACCTCTACGACCGAGAAATGTAAGAATTCAACTTTACTTTTGCTGTGAACATACAAAGCAAGCAGACCAGCTCACCGTATCTCACAATTCATAATTTGGGGATTTAGACGCAAATGTGAAGTTGGAATTATCAAGTAGACATCTCCGATTGAGGATATTCATTCATCAGATGACTCATTAGCCAAGTCATGAATCCTAGAATCCCTTGCTGCTTTCTTACCAATAAAAATATTGTATCCACACAGCTCACGTCTGTTTGTGACCAGACTCACACGAGGCCAACGCGTAAAATACTTGTGATGCCTTGAGGTGGTTTTCCTGACTTTGCTTGCAGGAATGTGACGGCTTGTTGATGAGGCACCAGAATAGAAGGACTGAAAATCTGATCGAGCTTCATAACAAGACGCCCGTGTGGAACGACGAATCTGCGTCCCATGTGCTCAACTTCAACGGCAGGGTCACCCAGGCCTCCATCAAGAACTTCCAGATAGTCCACAGCAAAGACTGTGAGTATCCAAAGTGTGTTCTATTCACCGCTCATCACAAGTAGATGTTAGTAGACCAAGAAATACACAAAGCGGTTCACTGCCAAGTCACAGAGGGTTTGAAAACGTGTAAAGTCACTGGGAATGATGAGCACTTCCGCTTTAGTTTACTTTGGCATTGACGATAATTAAATGTTTTAAGTCGCATAGATACAGATATCGAACAGTTAAAGGCTGTTTTTTCACCATCGTTTGCATAATGAAACAAACGGATCTCCTGCGAACCAAATATGTTTCATTTGGAAATGCTTTTTACCAGTAATAGCATGTGCTTGGTACGTCACTACACTCATAGAATTAAAAGTACTGAATACAAAATTCAATTCAATTTCCCACAATAGTTCCTTTTTGACTGTTTTTATTGCGTTTTACAACTGATGCTTTCAAAAAGCCTTAAAAAACATTTCCTTGCAAAAAAGATTCGTTAGATGAAAGAGGTACTTATGCCAACTATGACTACAAACCTTTTAAATTGAAAAAATCTCCAATAAAGGGGTTATTTCGAAGCACATGGTTCTGGATAGAACCGCAGCATTCCAGGAAGAGCCCTTATTTCTAAGTGTCTACTTACTCGGGTCAATTTAAAAGGAATTCTGGCCCAGTTAGAAATAAGTGACAGACGGAAGGCTTCCAGGGGAAAAAAAGGTTGTTGTTGCCACGAACCAACATACAAGAACTCACCTCGATGTTACAGCACAGAGGATAATCACATAATGTTTATTTGTCAGGCAATTTAGAGGTTAGCAGCGATGCTCCTCAGTATAGCTTCATAGAGCTGCTAGCATATCTGTGGACACTATTATATTTTAATATTCTTACATGTACAGTAAGTAAACAATACGCTGACCTTGATTTCATCCTATAAGGTTCTAATTTAAAACATTTATTCTATATCCATTTACCTCCCAATGCAAACGATTCCTTTTTTTTCAGTGGACTACATTGTGATGCAGTTCGGACGAATAGCTGATGACATTTTCACGCTGGACTACAACTACCCGATGTGTGCCGTGCAGGCCTTCGCCATCGCACTCTCCAGCTTTGACGGCAAAATCGCCTGCGAGTGACCGAAAGATTCCCTGCTGTTGTTTTCTCAAGTGCGAAACCTCGCGTGGGACACGGCCACATGCCGACAACTCTTGGGACTGGCCTTTTAATCGCTTCCTGCGATAGGCGGCGATAACAAACGACGATCCATTGAACCTGACGGAGCTGCTGGGCCTCGTAGCATGTGGTCCTCTGATCTAGAACGGCAGGACAAAGGAGAGTCCTGGTCTTTGGTCGGTAATTTAGTGGAAATGAACGGATTTCTGTGAATCACAGAAAGACACGCATCATTTCCAAGGACCCCAATGGCTGAACAATCATAGGTTTAATATTTAAAATAGTTCTTATAATTGGTGTTCACATAATCATTTCACAAAATATGTAGGACTTCAGCTGATTGCGGCTCCTGTAGAATATTCTATTTTGTATTTTTGGTTCAACATTTTTATAAAATGCATTTCTTATTTTTAACCGCCTTTGTTGCATCTGAGAAAGCATGTGAACTTTCAATCTTGTATTTGTATTACGGGAACAGTGTGTAGCATTTGGGATGATCTATTGGCAGAAACATGCTATTACTAAGTATGTTTTCTTTAGTGAATAATCAACTGAACCAAACCCGGAACAACCAAACCGAACCAATCCATGGCTCCATGTTCTCGTGTTTAGGCGTTGGCCACCTTAGTTCTCCAGCACACGGGACACACTGGAGACGTTACAGTATGTTTCAATCTGCTGCATGCTGCCAAATCGTACACACTGCACCTCTAATTCTTAGTTGTTAGAGTCCGTGTGCACCTGCAGAGGGGAATTAGCATGCAGCTTAATGTGGTACATCTTTTCTCCTTGTATGAGATTCTTTTTGTACGTGGTCAAATAAATGCAATAATCTCAAACAATTAATCTCCTTAAATTCAACACTTAATGTGTACACACATGTTCTGGTGTCCCGAAGTATTTCACTATTATTAGTATCCTCTCCAGTCTTGATACCAAATCAGGACAGAGGCCCTTCTTCTCTACTTTCCGGCGCCCTTTCTTGGATCACGTACGCCTTCAAACGTGTCCTCAATTTTGATCACCAATAAGCACCCATAGTGGCACAGCTTGCCGTGACAATACCTCGCCACAAGATAAGACGGGACAAGATAAGGTAATCCTTTATTAGTCTTGCAGCTGGATCATTTACAGGATTAAAAAAATAGAGTAACTGAAATGAAATATTATATATAAAGTAACATTAAATAATACAGACGGATAATATATATATATATATACATAAATAATTGTAATGGAAGTTATTGCCCAGGTTTCTGGTGATTTGGGGGTTTGTGCAGCCTGACAGCAGCTGTACTAACATCACCCACAGCTCCTGGATACAGTCCCACATTACACTGTAGGATATATATTTTTTAAAAGCACTGTATCGTCCTCCTCGAGCTGGCAGATGAACAGAAAGACTTCTTCTAATTGCAGGTTACCAAGAGATAACCACGCCGTTCCAGTTGTCTGACGCATTGAGAGGAGACCTTCCCTCAGGAAGAAAAACCTGTTTGACCCCCAAGGTGTTGAGAGCGAGCGAGAGGTGTGTATTCCGCCTGAACCTGCTCAGGCAGTTGTCCAAACTCGCAGCTTAAACGAAGCCTGAAGCTGGCAGCTCCTGCAGATGCTGCAAGGTGAATTCATTGTCCTCTTCTGTAACGCACATTCCGGCTAAACAACTGCCAAAATTACTGTTGTCATTAGATGCTAGTACAGTTTGTGCATCTACTATAAGGGTGAGTCATTTTCACACCATCTGCACTCGCAGCGTGCGCTGCTTTATCGCCTCAGTGGTGGATGAATACACGGGCGACTGATCGAAATGTTGCAACCACGCAGTTGACCAACAGAAGGAGCTGTTGCAGGATGGACGTGTGTTTAAGGTTCTGTTTTTTATCGGTTATACTGAGGAAAGGGATACTAAGTCATTAAATACTTTTCCTCCATAAGTTTAGTTATGATAAATGCAATGTTTTTTAAATTGATTCAATTCAATCACCCCACAGTGAACTCAGTATCGAGTCACGCATGCACAGGGCTGGGAAATAGATTCAAATGTCAGTTTTCTATTAGAGAAAAGCCCCATTTGAAGTTAAAGTTAATGAAATGTTCAGTAAAATATCTGTAATTTCCTTTTACAGCATTAGCAATAGTTAGTCACATTTGTGACGTGTGATCCTTATACGATTGCTTGATTGCATCGCTTAAGACTTCTTGATGCATCCTGCTTTGATTTTGAAATAAAACCCTAACCCTATAAAAGAAGTATACCTATCTACATGACGTGTTAACCTTAAGATCTTGAGCCATTTATTTCCATTTACGAAGCTCAGAGGTTGTTAAAAACATTGTATTCAACAATGTCTGAGTGTGTGTTCTTTATCTGCTTGTTCCAGCATTTATCTATGAATGTTTACACTGAATGCATTTGTATTGCTGCTGTAATCCATTAAATGTTTTTCTACCCCTGCATGTCATACACATTACATTAAATGGAGCATAACATATTTAATACAGGATCCCCGTTATAATAAAAAATAAAGTGCATCGATGGAAAAAACTACTTTATATGTCTACTATTATTTTATTGTTTATTTTTAATCTAGTGATCTTATAACATGTTTTACTGTGCATCAGTTACATGAGTAATTACTATAATGTATATTAAATATTATTAAATGATTTAATATTATAGATTTAACAGCAGTAAAAACATTTGCCAAAATAAGCCCAATTTTTGACCAGCTGCATCACTAAATATATTTAGTCATAAAAAATTACAATTAGTGATATACATTATTCTGAAAGAACATGGTACTCTAAATAAATGTTCATGTCATTTGTCAGCTCTTTTACTTGTAACTTGTATTTGGTACTTCTGCAAACCTTCACATCTGAATAATTCCTCCACCACTCCAAAGGTGTAGAATTCATGGCGCTAGCAGTGTTTAAATACCTCACTTGATGCGTTTAGTTTTTGGCACATCAGCCTGGTGGGATTTTTTGCGTTTGAGAGGGTCAGTTTGTTTGGACAGGAAGCTGCAGCCCGGGTCTGCAGGGTTTTCGAGGGTGGGCGGAGCTTCGACGGAAGTCCCCGCCCCCCCAGCTTGTTGATTGACGCGCACCAGTGGCTCCTCCTCGGGAGTCTTTCTTTTTTTCTTTTTTTTTCCCTCCCCCTTCGTTTTCCAGTGTAGTGCGTTGATTTCATACCAAAGTCATACTTAACATTCCACTTATACTGTCAAACCTCTGAGAAATATTACGGCAAAACAACAAGGCGCCAAATTGAAAGAAACGCACTAAAGGGACCCGCTGCTCCCACTGAGAAGAAGGTGACTGCCAGATTATATATTTAAAAGAGGGTAAGTTCTCCACTCTTTCTGTTTAGAGACCTTTTTTTTCTGCGTGAGTTTTTTTTTTTTTTTTTCATGCCGCTTCTCTCGGTGAAGTTTTCAGATCATTGTCATTTTTGACATTTTTCCGCGGAGCTCCCCGCGTTGGGAGGGAAGAAAACATTTGCAAATTGCGCGTGTATTGCGTTTGACTTTCCCAGTGTGCATGGATGTATTTGACAGGCTCTGTACAATCATGTTTCCACCGGTTGACGCACGGACACACACACACACACACACACACACACACATAGACGCTATTTCAAACCGAAACACAAAGCGTCCCTTTTGACAGCAGAGAAGTGCGGCCAATATGTTTGTTTTGTGTCTCAGTTCATACCTGGATCATCCGACACTCCCAACCTGGTTCCTCAAGAGGAATCCAACGGGTTTACCTCCGGGATCAGAGAGAGAGAGAGAGAGAGGCAGACCAAAATCGATTTGGAGGAATACACAACATCAGTCTGGTTTGGACATCTGCATCCCAAAGGTAAGACGAGTTCTGGATTTGTCAGTGCTACTGTTCCTTCAACAACGCGCACACACACACACACATGGATCAGACAAAGAAAAATACACATTTACATTGAAAATAAAATATTTGATGAAATAATTTGTTGAGCTACATTATCTTTCTCTTTCGTTTTTGATGAGAATTAAGTTTAATAAATAATGTTCAATTCTTACAACATTTGTCTTGCCTTTAAAAGACTGACATTGTTTTATCAAAACTCATTTAGATACAAATGGTTTTTTTTTTTGGTTTAAGAGGACATTATTTTTGTTATTATTTGTGGACCCAGAAGTCTGAACTCTGAACTGAGGTGTAAGATTAATACCCCAAACTATCAGCAGATTTATAAATACTCGAACAAATGACAAATGCACAGTGGTGCCTGCGTGCAGACCGGTGACTCCTGCATACCGAAGTCATTTAATTACATCTCTGCTACTCCGTCAGTATGAACACATACCAAACCTCCTGTATTAGTTTATTACCTCATAAAAAGTCACGCCAGTCACGTCAATTCAGAAGACGTTCTGAAGCCATAAGAAATATGTGACAGGACTGAAACATTGAAAAATTTGAGTGCTCACCAAGATTTTATCTAATATTCCATCTATCATTTCATTCCTTCCTTTCTACTCTTTTGTGCCAAGCGAACGCGCGGTGATACGCTGCAGTCCCCCTAAGTACATAATTCAGAGGTGAGGATTTGCGATGCACAGATATGCACGCGAGCTAATAGTATAACTGCTATAAGTGCCGCCTCGGGCCACACCTGCTCCCTCGTTCTGTGTCGTTAGTTTCGGAGGGGGGGGACCAAGCCGAATGTTTGGGTTTATTGGAAGATGTAAACAATAAGAAGCGAAGCAGGGACGTGCTGGCTGGTAAAGTCGGAGGGGTTATACCTCTGCCGGTCAACAGGTTTGACTCAAGAGCAGAATGCCGTCTGTCAGGTTGGTCGCAGCGGGAGGCAAAAACCTGTTCACGTCGCTCCGCCGTCCGCCTCCTGCCTCCTTCCCCCTGCCTCCTGCCTCCTGCCTCCTTGCTCTTACTGCAGCAGCAATCCTTGAAACTTCTACAATGTCATATTTCCATTGAATATTTTACCACATTTCTGAAATATCTCCACCGGTTTTGCGTGGAAACCGCTGTCAAGGCCTCACGGCCGCCTGCTGGATGCGAGGTCTTGTGGAGGCAGGCGGTGGGCTGGAGATACCATCTCCTGATCTCCTGATGCAACGCCGATAGAGAGGAGGATCGGTTAACGCGTTGGAAGTTTTATCTTGCTGTTTTGTCGGGCCGTGGCAAAAATCAGAGGCAAAAATCCACCGTTGGAGCTATACTTTTCTATCAACATGTGGCAATGATGTTCTGAGAATAAACGACCAACCAGAACCACCGAACAATGTGTCTTTGGTAAATGAGACACGCCAAGATGCCTAATAATAGATTTCGATGCTGATGGGTAAATCTGGAAAGGATTAAGCATTCTGCTGCTCCAACAGATTCCCCTTCATTGTTTTCATGCAGCATGAATGCATCAGGCCTCCCGATGTACAATGTGGTCTCCTTTTTATTTTTTTGGGGTTTTTTCTTCTCTCCTTGAACGCACTTTATGCTCTCAAGCCACTGTGGATTTCGCATGAGCGCCGTGTGAGAGTCGAATGCGAAGGGAACGTTTTACAGCTTTGCTCACGGTCATGCAGGTCAATTAGATTACTTGGGGTTATATCCCCTTAAAGTGGCAGTTTTCTCTCTTTTTACTCCCCAGCTGGGTTCCTCGGGGCCGCTGGTTCAGAAAGGAAGAGTTAATGAGCATGTGCTTTCTTCTTGAAGGGGGGGGAGAAATACCCCCCCCCCCTCCCTCCTGATGTGTATGCTTTTTAAAAGATTAGCCACAATCTGCACACTGTGTCGGTATTTCCAATCGTACGTGGAAGGCGCATCCCCTCTCCGGCCCGGCGGGGTGTTTGCTCGGCTGCAGGTCTGTTGACCGTTTGTCAGCAGGCAGCTTCACCCGTTTGTGTTAAAGCCACAGAAGGGCGGCTAATGAGCTTTTGCCCATTTGTGCAGACGTTGGGCCGCTTTTTTTTTTTTAGCACCATCCGCAAAAGTGCTCGTCCAAATGGTGGACACTTGCCCCTCTGTCAACCCAGACCTGAACAAACACCACTTGTGTGTGTGTGTGTGTGTGTGTGGCGGAGCACACAGAGGGCCTCAGAGGGAAGCCAGCGGCCCTCAGCAGAAGGGCATTAGTGGCAATCCGGAGGACAATACGCAGCCTGACGCTAACTAGCAGCGGCCGGGTTTAAGTCTTGTCGGTTATTACAGGCGCACGACCCAAACGCTGCATGAAATCTTAAAAAAACCTCCACCGGTCTCTTCCCTCCGCACAATTGATCGACGTCGTACCCCCGTTAATGCACCGAGCGTGTTGAACATGTCCTCCAAACCATGAGGTTTTACCAGAGAAGCTCTCCGGCCTCCTATTCGGACCACTCAGGGGAGGAGCCGGGGAGTGGCCTACAACAGTGTAGTCTTTGTATCGGTTGTCCCCAAGTTGCTAAACGTTTTAGTTGTTCTTTCTCCAGCGGCCGACTGCCCGGGAGCGATGGTCCACACTTATGTTCTGCAAAGAGCTCAGAAAAGAAGCGTCTGTGTGTGTGTGTGTGTGTGTGTGTGTGTCAGCGTCTGTGCCTCCTCCAGCCTCCATTATAGATAACATGAGGCTCACTCAGCCCGTCTGTTGTTTCAGAGACGAGTGTGTGTGTGTGTGTGTGTGAGGCCTGTTTGTCGCACTGGAGCTCCAGTGACCCAAGGGCACTCATGTGAAACCCCTTTAATCCTTTTGCTCAGAGTGTTTTGGGGTTGGGGGATGATCTCTCTCTGCAGCACAGTGAGAGAGAGTTTTTTTGTTTGCCTCCTAATATAGAACAACACAGGTGTCCGAGTGTTTTGTGGGGGGTCTGACCTTTTACGGGGGGGGGGGGCGCGAAAATGCATTAAATGTGCAACAGCACGACGAGTTCCCTCCCTCTCCGCTTTTGATTTTAACGTCTAATCGTGATTTTTTTTTCCTCCTCCATGAACGTCTCTCCTCCGTGTGTTCCTCATCAAAGCCACGGCTGCTTTTAATGCCTCCTTCCACGATTTATTTGGTTTGATGACTTATTGGCCGGCGCATTCTGCTGCCGAAGTTCTGCATGTCTTAAAGGTTTCACAGATTATGGGTTCGAACCGCTCCCCTCGCCACAAAGTGACCAATTCAGGCTAGCGTGGCTTCTCCGCTGCTTTCTCTGGGAATTTTCCGATTTTTAAAATGGTGATTCAGCCTGTAAGAAAAAAAAAAGAGAAGTATTCTGGCACACTCCGACTGTTTTTTTGTCAGTCTTTCCCTCCTCGGCTGGATTTAGGCTTAACTCTCTGAAAATGTGACGACCCAAGGTAGACCACATATGTGCAACGGCGCCCGGCGCTCAAGCAGAACAATGCGCGAATGACTCGGGCCTTGTGTCCGCGCTCTCGTTGGACTCGTGGTACCAATTGTATCAGTGAATCATTTAGCAAATCAGTAACCTCTCCCCGCCTCCGAGCACGTTAGGCCCAGTTTTCCACGCGGCGGGATTTCTTCCCGAGAGGAGCGCCAAATAAAAATCGGTGGCGAGTTTCATTGCGTAAAAAAAAAAAAAAAAACGCCGTCTGAATCGCTTTTCACACATCCTCCTCACGTGCATTGTTGTCGGTCTCGGGCGTGCAGCTGGTATCAAACTGCAAATGTTTGACTTGACAAGGGCTGCATGTGGCGTGTGCGTTTTCTGTCTGGACTTTTCCTTCTCTTTCTGCCTCCTTTGCCGTGTGAGCGCTTGGCTCTCCGGCCCTCCTCTCGCTCTCAGCTCTGATTGTTTCCTGAGCGCCGGGCCAGATAGGAAGTAGGAGGAAGTTATTGGAGGAGCTGGAGAGAATTTATTAGGGCCAAACACAGACGCTGGGAGGGAGCGAGGAGTGGGAGGGTTTTTAATTTTTTTTTTTTTTCATTATTATTATCCTCTTTTTTTTGGGAGATTTGGTCTCATGTCTTGGCGGCAAACTTTCAGCAGAGACTCGCGCCGCTTCACCGCCTTTTATTTTCGTAGAAATGGTGATTAGTGTTTAGTGATTTCTGCTTTGAATGCAGCGTGGGAGGAATAAGGCCTCGTCGGAGTGCAGCCTGCCTGGCCTAGACCCTAAAACGTTTTCTTTATCTGTAATCTGACCCTAGAGAGCAGCTGCTCTCTCTGCCACCAAGTCCTGTTGTTTCCCCTGTCAAGAGTGTGTTTGTGTGGCTATTGCCCTCTGTGCGTGTGTGTGTGTGTGTGTGTGTGTGTGTGGTGGATGACATCTGTGAGCGCCCCTCAACCTCAAACGTGTGGAGGAGCTCCAAGCCGTGGATTTGTTGCTGTGTGTAGAATGTGAAGTTTGGTGGAGGTGTGTTTGACTCTCAGCTAAGCGGGAGGTGGGGGGAGGCGGGGGGGTGGGGGGGTGGCTATCGCCTGCCAGCACGGGGCCTGTTCTTTGCCAACGAGTGTCCCAGCTCCAGCAGCTTAACAAAGGCTGCATTTTTTTTTTTAAAGACAAGCAGGCACATTTTGTAGCGCGTCGGAGGTGCAAAAACGATACGGCGGGAGACATGACGGAGGGACAAACACAAAGCGGGGCCCGGTGGCTCCGCGGTGGACCAGGATCATTTATCTGAGTCGTGGTACGTTGGAAGGTCCGGGTCCGGATGAAGGGCCGTGGTAAAGTCTTCTGATGCAAATTGAAAAACTGCCACCAGGACTTAAAGACACTAACATCACTTGCTGCTTTGTTATGAACACGCCGGCCACGTTTAGTCGTGCCGCCGCCGCTTCTGCCCGTGTTTGTTTGTCACGCATCTTGTACCCTTTGCCAGCAGGAATCACTTTGAGGATAAACCAAATGGCGTGAGAGTGAAATTAACTGCA